AGGAGAAAACAAAATAAAGTCACGGTCTCTCCCAAACGAAAATTTAAATTTCAATCTGTTCATAAAATATTGACTCTCCTAACCTTTTGCGTTCACATAGGTGATTGGGAAATGTTTTAAGTCAATGATTTCCCAACATTGCTCATAGGTCTGCAACATTTACTCAGTAAAGGTACTGATCATTGCCTGACCTCTCATTTAATTATTGATTATAAATGGAAGATAACTTCATATTTATTGATTTAAAAAAAATACAGGTCAAGTTTGGACTGTTTCAGAATATTTTTCTCGCTCCTAATTTTGTGATTTTTGCTGATTTTTAGATTTGACAGACTTATTTTCGGAATTTATTTTAAGAGGATTGTGTGGGGGAAATTCTTAATGTTTGTCTTGTGATTCCGTTTGCTGTGGAATGGTGGAACTACAATATGCTATACTGGTCCTTTTTCTGGTGTCCGGAGCAGTCAAAGGCAAGTCAAGACAGTTGTCCAAAAAAAACCTCATGATTATTACAGTGATTTTCCCTAAAATGGAAAAAAGTACTGATACACTGCAGATAATGCTTATAAGTCCTTTTTTTTAAATTCAAAATTGTAAATTAAGGAAATGTTGTTAAATGGATTTTTTTTTATCATACTGGACTAGTGGTCATAATGTTCTGACTTTTGTTGTAGAATTGATCGCTTAAGTTAAAAATTATCTGAATTTGAAACCTTTCCGACTAAGGAAATGGATTTGACAAAAGTAATTTACAGTCACGAGAAAGAGAGGGGGGGGGCAATTTTTGATTATTAAATTTTTGAGGAGCAAATACATCATTGTATTAAGAATTTTGAAGAAAGAAATATATATTATACATAAATCTTAAATTTTTCACAATCAGAATAAACATTTTCTAAATCCTTTTGAACAACACTTAAGTTCAAAGCACACGTACAGTATAAGAGTCAAAAATAAAACTTTCATCATGTATTGTCTCATAGATTTAATTTAGTTTCGTTAACTGATACTAATTTCTATTACCTCAACGAATATTATAAGGAATCTGTTAATTACACAATGAAGAGCCTTAATTCTCACTGAAATAGGAGAAATAAACTTAACTGAGCAGTCTTTTATGACCTGATTTAAACAATATTCACAAGATTTTTCGACAGAGAAACAAGTCAATAAGAACAGGTTTCATACTATGAAAACATGGTTATTTCACAACTTGCATATCCTGTAGAATCATGATTGTTCGTGGTTTTCTTGGGGACACTCTTACCCACCAATTTACATGTCTAGGAACAATGACTTTGTAAACATATCGGTATGTACAAAATTGATGCAGAAATCAGTTTCTATGATTCATGGGACACAAGTTTTTAACTGAAAGAAGCTACGACTATATAACTGGAATGGTTTTTTTTCTTTCTGGTTCAAAAATGAATTAAGATTACACGTTACCGTAGTAGTAGCCTTTATTTCTGTATATTTCCCCCTTCTCACTTATTTTCTTAAAATAAAGATATTTGCAACTGCCATATTTGAACGCGAAATTTCTAAATTTAAAAACACATTTCCAATTCTTCAAAAAAGATTAACAGAAATAACACAGAGAAAAAATATGATACCAATTTTTTTTAATGCAAGTTACGTTCAAGAGCATAAGAAAATTACCTTCCTGAAAACAATAACTACTGACTTGCATGCAATAACCCTTCCAGTTCCATTAACATTTATATGCTACATGTACAAGTAGGTGATACTTATGACATTTAAAAGTTTTGCTTTTAAGCAAACCTCACATTCACATTTCAACATCTACAAAGCGACCTATGTAATCATCGAGTAATTTTTGGATTTTAACTATCTCGAAGATGCAATCCGAGAACGTTCAGGTACAATGGGTTTGTGTGAAAACATTTAAAAGAATCCCGCTTCAACATTTTCTATTTCTATCAAATCCTACATTATAGGATAATCTTCAAAAAATATACATTTAATATATACAGGAGGAGTTTGCACTACGTCTTAATGATATGTACATATCCAATGCTTCAAGGAAACCATTGAAAGGATTTTCTGACCGCGTAAGCGGTTATGTATTTTTTTCCTGCAATAGCTGCCACGCTAATTCCCGTACTAACAAAGAAAGAAAGACATTTTATTGTTTATATTTATATCTGTATAAAAACATTTAAAGTAAAATTAAATGTGTTAAATATTGAAATATGGATGTGTATGTCACTGTATGCATAATTGATGGAAGAGCGGTTTCTCAAGAAATCTATGCAAGTGGCTTGCTTAGTGGCGTTTACTGACTGATAAACGACAATGGTTTTCATAAGAAATAATACACAATGTTACAGCAAGCTCAGTAGGAAGTCAAATGCCTACTAGGTTCAGTATCTTTCACAGTTTGGCCAGCCACGAAGCTAAATTGAAATAAATTTCTTTAAATGAATGACCTGTCCTATCGTTAATGAAACATAAAACATTGGATAAATTCATCTGTTTTCGTCAAAATTCCTTTCTGATTAATGAAATATCTGAAATTTGTATTCTATCATGACTTTGAATAAAGTAGTCAGGTGCTGTAAACTTCTCTTCAGCCCATACATAGCAAATGTACATGGATATTTTCTCTGGCAATTTGATCACTCGTTATACCAGATCAACAGCTTAGGAGGGTCTTCAATAAATAATACAAAATGCGATCTAAACAAAAAAAAAGCATAAGAGGCAATTTCTTCATTATACCCCCGCTCCGAAGGAGAGGGGGGTATACTGTTTTACCCTTGTGTGTCTGTCTGTCTGTCTCTCTGTCCGTCTGTCTGTCTGTCCGTCACAAATTTTGGTCGTAGTTTTCTCAGCAACTACTCATCGCAGGTGCTTGAAATTTTAGCACAATCTTTGTTTAGGCATGCCATTTGGTGGGATTCATTTTTGAACTAATCCGATGTCAACTTCCTGTTTATCCGTGCGTCTGTCCGTACCATACATAACAAATTTTGGTCGTAGTTTTCTCAGCAACTACTCATTGCAGATGCTTAAAATTTTAGCACAATCTTTGTTTAGGCATGCCATATAATGGGATTCATTTTTGTACTAATCCAATGTCAACTTCCTGTTTATCCGTGCGTCTGTCCGTACCATACACAACAAACTTTGGTCGCAGTTTTCTCAGCAACCACTCATCGCAGATGCTTGAAATTTTAGCACAGTCTTTGTTTAGGCATGCCATATGGTGGGATTCATTTTTGTACGAATCTGATGTCAACTTCCTGTTTATCCGTGCGTCTGTCCGTACCATACATAACAAATTTTGGTCGTAGTTTTCTCAGCAACCACTCATTGCAGATGCTTGAAATTTTAGCACAATCTTTGTTTAGGCATGCCATATAATGGGATTCATTTTTGAAACAAATCCGATGTCAACTTCCTGTTTATCCGTGCGTCTGTCCGTACCATACATAACAAATTTTGGTCGTAGTTTTCTCAGCAACTACTCATCGCAGATGCTTGAAATTTTAGCACAGTCTTTGTTTAGGCATGCCATATGTTGGGATTCAGTTTTACAAATCCGATGTCAATTTCCTGATTATCACTGTGTTTGTCCATAACCGAACTTGTGTATTCACATCAGAGCGGGGGTATTATTAGTGAGCATTGGCTCACAGACTTCTTGTTTTTTATTACTCAAAGTATTCCCTGTTTTCCTTAATACATGTCTAAAATTTTTATACCCATGACCAGAACACCTCAGCATGCTCTTCTTTAGGGACGCCGAAAAGACGCTGATAATAAAACTTTCAGTGACATACAATAAATCGTAGAGTCGTCTTTTGATTGTTTTCTTGGGTTTTTGGAATTAGAAAATCTCACAATGATTGAGATTTAGCGAATACGGAGGATGGCTAAGCTCTGTAAACGTTCTTTTCCTCAAAATTTCGTTTATATCTCCATGCTTATTTACAGCAGAGTTGTAAGACACAAGAAAATTAACTCCGGGACCGGTATTTGGACTTCCCTCACAGAAAAACTACTGAACTTTCCTCAATGCAATTTTGACATTTAAAAAAATCCATTGATTTCCCTTCCTTTGGGTGTAGGTTGATGTATTACCGGACCTCTTGACTAAAGAGAAAACCTGTATGAAAAATGTTTGGAGCTCTTCCTTTTCTTTGAAATAATAAGATGATTTCTCTCTGGTTCCCCTTCTTATTATTGTTCTTCCTTTTTGGCTGTAAAAAACGTACCAATGTTTTAACAGCCATAACCCATGTTTAGCATATTTTTTTGGAATAATGTTTATTTTTACTAGACCATTGTGCATTTAACTTATGTTTCCCCTTAGGCATCTGTAAGGAAATAGACACCCATCTGATAAAGAAACATTTTTTGATTCATATTTCCTTTGTCAGAAATCTATGAACTGTGATGATAAATTGTTTAGTGTCTTAGCAATTTCTTTCACTGTAAATCTGGCATTAACAAATATCAAGTTGATCACATCATAGACATTTGTTGGTGTCTCTACAAATTTTGATCTACGAATTCAACTGCAATCTTGTAACACTCTATTTCCATTTTTGGATTTCTTATTCCATCTGTACACTGCATAGTTTTAAGGCTTGTCTTTCCAAATATCTAAACCATATCTTTCATATTGGTTCTTCAGCGATTTTTGTAAACGAATAGCATTCTTAACATACGCCCTCATTTTCTTCTTCGTGGATGAGCCCATTTTTAAAAAGCACTTCTCGACTGTGAAAAAAAATTAACTGTTTCTACATTTATTATGATAAACCGTATGTTGCATTACTTATTGAACGACCCTCGTATTAACAAGCCATGAAGCATCGATTGAAAAAAAAACAACAATTCTTAAATAATTTGCCATAAACCGAATTTATTTCAAACTGAGAAGTACCTATGTTTTATTTGAACAACTCTAGAGAAATCAATGAAAAATACACAAATTCACTTCTATAGGTCAGTCTGCTCAAACCCTAATGATAGATGTGGATGATCGCCTACTGGTGTTCAGCGGAGGAAGTATTAGTGGAACGGCTTGTATCTGGGAATTTGACGACAACGATGCCAGCGTTTTATGCCGGCAGTTAGGATATGGTACTCATGGCACGTCTTACGCTGTCCCTCGATCGAGTTTTCCACATGTCTTATTCAACGTCCAATGCCAAGGAACCGAGGCGAGATTGGATGAATGTGCCTACGATACACAAGATATTACTTTAATGTGTCCTGGTGCAGATGATGTTGGAATTACTTGTTCCACTTCCACAACGACAGTTACAAGTCAAAGTAGTCAAGGTTTCATTTCCACAACAACAGTTGCAAGTCAAAGTAGCCAAGGTAGATAATGTAGGAATTTACATTTACGATTATTACCTTACTCATAGACCTTCTAATGAGAAATAGGAAGGTTACAAGACAAGATTTGCAAAACATCTCTTGTGTCTCAATAAAAACATTTTGTTTTTTAAAGATCAAGTTTAACTCTCTATCTATAAATAGGTATTACTTTATCAGTATTATATAAATTTTCTTATAGGACAATTCACCATACATGAGATGTGTGAAACAACATTTTCTTTTGTAATAAGAAAAAATCCATATTGCCCTCTTTATAAAATACAGATGTAGACTTAGAGATTGTTTACAAATGAACACGTAGAGAGAGTTTAAAAACATAGATGTAGATAATTTCATATAATACAAAAAACAGAGATATTTTACAAATAAAAGGTTTCGATAATTTAGGAATATAAATGTATAGATACATGTAAATTACGAACGTAGATGTATATAAGGAGGTTGTTCGGTTAAATCTGTACAAATTGTACAAATCTAGAGTGAAAAATAATCAACACTAAAATTTTCCCTGCTGCTCAGAATATTAATCATCATTATAGGATATTCCACATTAAATATATGCTTAAACAAACAAATAGGGCATTTTATGTTAGGTGTGGGATCACCTTATAGCACACGGTCAAAGTATCAAATACAATGCCATCTCTGCTAAGAAAACCCCACACAAATCCAGAAATTTCATTAATGCTGACACTCTGACTTTCCTTTGATATTACGTAAACAGGTGAAGAACAAATCTTGCACACCCAGTGGACCATCAATATGTTCTGAACAGTAGTCTGACTACATTCAACTAAACAGGCAATATTGTTAACAGTTTTTCGACGGCCTACTTCTTTAGCAATTTTTAATCATCACAAGTATAGGTTTGTTCGTATGTTTTGTACTACTCAGGGGCTTTATGCCAAAAAGATTGAGCTTATAATTTTCCCATGCCATTTTCATGCACTATAAATCTAGTGATAGTTTTAAATTTCCCTGAAAGTTCGTAGAGGCATCATTACTAAATCTACATAAAACTGAAGTGCTCCACTTTGCGCCCTGACGTCACCAAACATGTTGCATTTACCACTTTCCATTTCAAATCTCCAGGAAACTGCTGAAAAATTAGGCAAATGACTTGAAATTCTCAAAAATAAAAAAAAAATTCTATATTTTTTTTATATTGAAACCAGATCCATTCTCTACTTTCATTTCGAAATATTGCTTGCGTATTTGCTGCGTCTTTTAGTTGTGCGCTGTAGGACTATATGTACCTTCAAATAAACCTTATTCTTTTCTCTCTTTTTCCAAAATATTTAACATATATTCAAATTTGATAGAACAATATTTACTGAATTTTTCTGCTTATTGCACGCATGGCATTTCAGTAAAAAAGCTTCGTCTATGAATTTAACCGGTCACGGTAGCCTAGTTCGCTTCGTGATCAGGAGGCCCGTTGTCGTATAGTGAGACTTCCCCCGGAAGACTGGCTATATAGTGAGACTTCCCCCATAGAGAGATTTCTCCAGGAAGATTGGCTTTATAGTGAGACTTCTTCCGGGGAAGTCTAACTATATATATAGCTAGTCTTCTGGGGGGAAGTCGTACTATATAGTCAGTCTTCCCTTCTTCATAGCGAGACTTCAGCCTCAAATATAGTTTCCGGAATAATTTTTTTTATTGAAACACAATGTTTTTTTTTTACACTAACGTTTTCAGTGTTCGAATAAAAGTCATATGAATTAATTATTCAAACATCTTAATAGCGTTTTAACAGTTTCTTAGCGATAAATACTTTGGGGATTACATGTATTTATACTTGAGTTAATTGAAAGAAAAATGTGCGTATACGTACATTATTGTAAGAAATATATCTTTACTAAATTTTATTATAGGAACCTCCATGCCGCCATACATAGAGTACGAGTCCACGAGTAATGACCTCTTACATGTTACTAATTGTGTATTTCTTTTGATAAAAAGTCGTTTCGAAACGATTCAATATTTTGCTGTGCACGACAGTTTTTTAATGCGCTCTTTTATATTCATTTGAAAATATATATCTAATAGTATCTAATAAGATCATTACCTACAGTAAATTGTTTCAGAGCTTCTCAGCGGACGCCCTATAGTGATAAGTTTGTCCGCCCGTCCGTCCCGCTGTCCGCCAGAGTTCCATTGCCCGGAGCATATTTCCTTTCTCTTTGGCCAAGCTGGGCCCAAACTTCAACCATAGAGTGCCCATGGGTAGAGGTGGTCATTGACCTTGATTAAAATTTCTGGAATAAAATACAAGGTCGATAGACCTTTCTCTTTAAAATACTTGTCAGGGGCATTTTTTCTCTCCCTTGGTCCAGTTGGGTTCAAACTTCACGTAAGGAGTGCCCTTTGATGTGCAGTGACCTTGAACTAATTTTTTTTTCGATCAAAGGTAAAAAAAACTTGTAAATTAATTTATACAAGGCAAATTTTCATTCCCCTGAGCCATGTTACATCATTATACCCATGGAGTACCTGTTGGTACATGATACGATGTGATTTTGAATGAAGTGTTTTGATCAAAGGCCAATGGAAGGTTTTTAATTTTTTGTAAATTCTTCTTTGAGAATATTTTCTCCTCCCCTTTTGGGTGCAAACTTTACACATAAATTGCAATTGGGTAGTGGGCGTGTTGTGACCTTCAACCAATTTTTTTGTACAAGGTTCAAGGTCAAACATATACTTGATTCAAGAATTATCATAATGTTTATTTGACACTCATTGAAATTCTGTAGTGATTCGTGCGATTTTTTTTATTTGCATATATCTGTTTTTAGCATATACTTATAACATTGCTATTATAAATTTAGCGCTTAGTTAATTTATGCAAGACAAACCAAAGACGTTAAGACGTTAACTTAGGTAATAACTGCTCCTAGGCCAAACGCCTAGCATTAGAAGTGAAAGTCACGGGTCCTTCGGATGAGACCTTAAAAACCGAGGCCCCGTGTCAAGGTAGGCGTTGGCACGATAATGAACCCTCACTGCTCAAAGGCCCTGGTCCTGAGTGTAAGTCTAAATTTGAAGCTCTTCAACGGTATATAGTGACGTCTCTATATAAGTGAAAATTAATTGAATGTAGCATAAAACAACATATAATCAATCAGTCTATGAATTATAAGAACATTCCTTGTAGATAGAATTAGTCTACCAACAAACACGTAGAGTGTACAAATACAGAAATAGAATTCGTTAAATGTTTCCAATTATAAAAATCATTCACAACCAACTCTCCACACTGTAATTTTCTAGCAAATAATAGAAACAAGATTTTTAATTTTTAATAACATAATTTAAAAATATTGATATTTTAGAAAACAGCGTTATATTTAGTGGACAACTAATTGCCGCTCATTTACTTTTGCTCCTTCAGTTTGCAAACTAAATTATAATTGAATATCAAGGGAAATTGAGTATAAAGTTCCATTATCTATAGCGAGATCTTCATTGGACTTAACTCAAGTGTCATGCACTACAACCAACGCGATTTGTGCATTTATCGAGTACCTTCGCGGTGTGAATCTCGTTACAGTTAGTACAGGTGTCACGGCTAACAACCGTAAGCCACTGCAATTCACATATACCCTTTTATCCTTCGCTAAACACATTCCTTTCAATTCAAAACTTGTAGTACTAAAGAAATATTATACTTGAACAATTCTAGAGAAATCAGTTTAAAGTGTGTATAATTCATGTTTAGGTCAGCCAGCTCTAAACCTGGTGATAGATGTGGATGATCGCCTACTAGTGTTAAGTGGAGGAAGTATTAGTGGAACGGCTTGTATCTGGGAATTTGACGACAATGATGCCAGCGTTTTGTGCCGGCAGTTAGGGTACGGTACTTCTGGAACGTCTTATGCTCTCTCTCGATCGAGTTTTCCACATGTCTTATTCAACGTTCAATGCCAAGGGACCGAGGCGAGATTGGATGAGTGTGCCTACGATACACAAGATATAACCTTCATGTGTCCTGGTGCAGATGATGTTGGAATTACTTGTTCCACTTCCACAACCACAGTTGCAAGTCAAGGTAGATTTTGTGAAAATGATAATTTTAGTAAGTGACAATTAGGACGCTTTCACTTTGCTCACGAAATATGATATAAGAAATAGGAATGGAACAAGACAGATTTTAAAGAATTCTTGTCTTTCATTAAAATGATAACACAACGTAATACTTGTTTTTACTCTTTTTTTTTATTTTATTCTGATTCGATAAATGGATATAAATTCGTCTTAATCTACTTTGAACTCTTCATTAAGTAACAGGCATAGACATAGAGGTAGTTTACAAACGTAGATATAGAATAACAAGCAGCTTACAAATGTTGAGATAGTCAAATATTTACAGGCATAGATATAGTTTACAGTCTCTACTGTGTTATGACGCTGTTTTTTTCTTGGAAAAAGATGATATGTTTATTATTTTCTGATTTGCTATTCAAATTTTTCTCACATACAAAGCAAGCATAAAGCACGGTTGAATAAAAAAATTATCGGAAGAAAAGGGAGAAAAGACAATAACCAAACAACCACATCTTACTAATTTTCCTATATAATTTTGTATCTGTTTTAAAAAGGACATTCAACTGTGTGGGTTGGACCAGGAGGTAGGGTGTTCGCTTCAACCACGAATGGAACGGGGACTGTGTGCAGTGACCGGTGGGATGATATGGACGCTGACGTTGTTTGTCGACAGATGGGATTTCCTTCTGGAACTGCAAGTTTTCTTCCACGTGACTACATGAACAATCACATCATCTTCAATGTTCGTTGTCAGGGTAACGAAACCAACGTTCAGCAATGTCCAGTAGACGAGTGGGATATGTTTGGAAACTGTGTTTATCATGGTGACGCCGGAGTCAATTGCATGAATACCTCTCAGGGTTCGTGCTTTTTTTTTAATATGAAATCCTATTTGATCTCAGGGCTTGAAATAATTTGATAGGTTGAGGGGAGTTGTTGTTTGACATAAACCGGTGGTTGTGTCTTGATAGGGTTTCTGTTCATACAAAGGGTTTCTGTTATCTCGATATAGTTAAAATTCAGAATACAAAATAGAAGGTGAAACAGGATGATCAAATGGCAGTAGTACTTTTCATAACTCTCTAGTAATTAAATCAACATTTCGAAAGAAGCTTCTGAAAAACATGATGTACAAAGGATACGAGACCAGAAAAATCAATATTGATTTGGAAAAATGATATCTAAGGAATCAGTCCAAATGATTGCTGATAAATGTCAATAAACTTAAGAAGGCTTTTATGCATCTTCTCAGGTATGCAAGCCGTTGTTTCTATTGGACCCAATGGAAGAGTATTTGTTCACAGTAACACGACTGGCACGGTATGCGGTAACATGTGGGATGACGTAGATGCTAATGTCGTCTGCCGTCAGATGGGATTTTCCTCCGGAACTGCAATCCACTTGCCACGTGATTACACGTACAACCGCCTGTTATATAATGTCAATTGTTTCGGACACGAGTTCCAACTTCAATCTTGTCAGGGTGAAGACTATGATATGTCAGGAATGTGTGGATATGCTGATGATGCAGGTGTTTCCTGCAGTAACATGACCAATGGTAAGATTGGAGAGTATGGACATGAAGAAAATGTCTAAGCCTTTAAGTAGTTATTTCTAAGACAAATGAGAATGCACTACTGAAAAGAGAAAAACACACACCATGTGAGAATTATACTTTAAGCGCATTTCATTTGATTGTGTATTCTATTTTGTGCCTTCGGCAGAAAGCATCCTCAGCTAATTGCAATAGATCGCTTTACATCTTGCAAACCTTTTTATTGATATATACCTACAATCTAACATGCGCTTATCAAAATCCACACTTCTTTGTTTAAAAATCTATTACCGACAAATGTCGCTAGAAGAAATACTTTTGAGGAAGTAATGTCAATACAATGTAGTTTATTTTCTTTTATGCTCCGAAGAAGATTTCCTGACCATGATTTCTAGACTCAAAACTTGACGATGCACAATTCATTTAATTAACCTCTATATATATCTGTCTTTCATTTCTAAAGTTCAATCATCCGTGACGCTGGGACCTGGAGGAAGAGTGTTAGCTCACACCTCGAACGGAACAGGGACGGTGTGCAGTGACCAGTGGGATGATATGGACGCTGACGTTGTTTGTCGACAGATGGGATATCCTTCTGGAACTGCCAGTTTTCATCCACGTGACTACATGTACAATCACGTCATCTTTAATGTTCGTTGTCAGGGTAACGAAAGTCATGTAGAGCAATGTCCAGTGGACCACTCGGACATGTTTGGAAACTGTGCTTATCATGGTGACGCCGGGGTTAATTGCATGAATACGTCTCACGGTTAGTGTTTTATTTAAATTGTTAAATTACATACAGTACCAAGATATCTAAGAACTAGACAGAATTGAGTAGGAATAGAGATGTTATTTTGCTTAGTAGACAGGAGAGCTTTTTGTTTCGGAAGAGTTTCCCATCACTCAAAGAGTTTGTGATTTCTCAGTGATATTGTAATCCAAAATAAAAGTTGAAGGTGTAAACAAAATCCGAATGTCACTTTTTTGTAACATCTTGAAGATTTGATAAGAATTGCAAAAGAACCAACACAGAAGTTAGCTGTAGAAAGGCCAAAAGAACCAGTAATTTTTATGTTAATTAGGAAAGATTTTACCAAGAAACCACGGTAAACAATTGATGACTTGAGTTTTGTTTCCGAAAAGTGTCAAGAAAGTAAAAGAATGCTTTCATGAATTTTCTCAGCTATGCAATCCATTGTATCTGTCGGACCCAGTGGAAGAGTATTTGTTCACAGTAACACGACTGGCACGGTATGCGGTAACATGTGGGATGACGTAGATGCTAATGTCGTTTGCCGTCAGATGGGATTTTCCTCCGGAACTGCAATCCACTTGCCACGTGATTACACGTACAACCGCCTGTTATATAATGTCAATTGTTTCGGACACGAGTTCCAACTTCAATCTTGTCAGGGTGAAGACTATGATATGTCAGGAATGTGTGGATATGCTGATGATGCAGGTGTTTCCTGCAGTAACATGACCAGTGGTAAGATTGGAGAGTATGGACATGAAGAAAATGTCTAAGCCTTTAAGTAGTTATTTCTAAGACAAATGAGAATGCACTACTGAAAAGAGAAAAACACACACCATGTGAGAATTATACTTTAAGCGCATTTCATTTGATTGTGTATTCTATTTTGTGCCTTCGGCGGAAAGCATCCTCAGCTAATTGCAATAGATCGCTTTACATCTTGCAAACCTTTTTATTGATATATACCTACAATCTAACATGCGCTTATCAAAATCCACACTTCTTTGTTTAAAAATCTATTACCGACAAATGTCGCTAGATGAAATACTTTTGAGGAAGTAATGTCAATACAATGTAGTTTATTTTCTTTTATGCTCCGAAGAAGATTTCCTGACCATGATTTCTAGACTCAAAACTTGACGATGCACAATTCATTTAATTAACCTCTATATATATCTGTCTTTCATTTCTAAAGTTCAATCATCCGTGACGCTGGGACCTGGAGGAAGAGTGTTAGCTCACACCTCGAACGGAACAGGGACGGTGTGCAGTGACCAGTGGGATGATATGGACGCTGACGTTGTTTGTCGACAGATGGGATATCCTTCTGGAACTGCCAGTTTTCATCCACGTGACTACATGTACAATCACGTCATCTTTAATGTTCGTTGTCAGGGTAACGAAAGTCATGTAGAGCAATGTCCAGTGGACCACTCGGACATGTTTGGAAACTGTGCTTATCATGGTGACGCCGGGGTTAATTGCATGAATACGTCTCACGGTTAGTGTTTTATTTAAATTGTTAAATTACATACAGTACCAAGATATCTAAGAACTAGACAGAATTGAGTAGGAATAGAGATGTTATTTTGCTTAGTAGACAGGAGAGCTTTTTGTTTCGGAAGAGTTTCCCATCACTCAAAGAGTTTGTGATTTCTCAGTGATATTGTAATCCAAAATAAAAGTTGAAGGTGTAAACAAAATCCGAATGTCACTTTTTTGTAACATCTTGAAGATTTGATAAGAATTGCAAAAGAACCAACACAGAAGTTAGCTGTAGAAAGGCCAAAAGAACCAGTAATTTTTATGTTAATTAGGAAAGATTTTACCAAGAAACCACGGTAAACAATTGATGACTTGAGTTTTGTTTCCGAAAAGTGTCAAGAAAGTAAAAGAATGCTTTCATGAATTTTCTCAGCTATGCAATCCATTGTATCTGTCGGACCCAGTGGAAGAGTATTTGTTCACAGTAACACGACTGGCACGGTATGCGGTAACATGTGGGATGACGTAGATGCTAATGTCGTTTGCCGTCAGATGGGATTTTCCTCCGGAACTGCAATCCACTTGCCACGTGATTACACGTACAACCGCCTGTTATATAATGTCAATTGTTTCGGACACGAGTTCCAACTTCAATCTTGTCAGGGTGAAGACTATGATATGTCAGGAATGTGTGGATATGCTGATGATGCAGGTGTTTCCTGCAGTAACATGACCAGTGGTAAGATTGGAGAGTATGGACATGAAGAAAATGTCTAAGCCTTTAAGTAGTTATTTCTAAGACAAATGAGAATGCACTACTGAAAAGAGAAAAACACACACCATGTGAGAATTATACTTTAAGCGCATTTCATTTGATTGTGTATTCTATTTTGTGCCTTCGGCGGAAAGCATCCTCAGCTAATTGCAATAGATCGCTTTACATCTTGCAAACCTTTTTATTGATATATACCTACAATCTAACATGCGCTTATCAAAATCCACACTTCTTTGTTTAAAAATCTATTACCGACAAATGTCGCTAGATGAAATACTTTTGAGGAAGTAATGTCAATACAATGTAGTTTATTTTCTTTTATGCTCCGAAGAAGATTTCCTGACCATGATTTCTAGACTCAAAACTTGACGATGCACAATTCATTTAATTAACCTCTATATATATCTGTCTTTCATTTCTAAAGTTCAATCATCCGTGACGCTGGGACCTGGAGGAAGAGTGTTAGCTCACACCTCGAACGGAACAGGGACGGTGTGCAGTGACCAGTGGGATGATATGGACGCTGACGTTGTTTGTCGACAGATGGGATATCCTTCTGGAACTGCCAGTTTTCATCCACGTGACTACATGTACAATCACGTCATCTTTAATGTTCGTTGTCAGGGTAACGAAAGTCATGTAGAGCAATGTCCAGTGGACCACTCGGACATGTTTGGAAACTGTGCTTATCATGGTGACGCCGGGGTTAATTGCATGAATACGTCTCACGGTTAGTGTTTTATTTAAATTGTTAAATTACATACAGTACCAAGATATCTAAGAACTAGACAGAATTGAGTAGGAATAGAGATGTTATTTTGCTTAGTAGACAGGAGAGCTTTTTGTTTCGGAAGAGTTTCCCATCACTCAAAGAGTTTGTGATTTCTCAGTGATATTGTAATCCAAAATAAAAGTTGAAGGTGTAAACAAAATCCGAATGTCACTTTTTTGTAACATCTTGAAGATTTGATAAGAATTGCAAAAGAACCAACACAGAAGTTAGCTGTAGAAAGGCCAAAAGAACCAGTAATTTTTATGTTAATTAGGAAAGATTTTACCAAGAAACCACGGTAAACAATTGATGACTTGAGTTTTGTTTCCGAAAAGTGTCAAGAAAGTAAAAGAATGCTTTCATGAATTTTCTCAGCTATGCAATCCATTGTATCTGTCGGACCCAGTGGAAGAGTATTTGTTCACAGTAACACGACTGGCACGGTATGCGGTAACATGTGGGATGACGTAGATGCTAATGTCGTTTGCCGTCAGATGGGATTTTCCTCCGGAACTGCAATCCACTTGCCACGTGATTACACGTACAACCGCCTGTTATATAATGTCAATTGTTTCGGACACGAGTTCCAACTTCAATCTTGTCAGGGTGAAGACTATGATATGTCAGGAATGTGTGGATATGCTGATGATGCAGGTGTTTCCTGCAGTAACATGACCAGTGGTAAGATTGGAGAGTATGGACATGAAGAAAATGTCTAAGCCTTTAAGTAGTTATTTCTAAGACAAATGAGAATGCACTACTGAAAAGAGAAAAACACACACCATGTGAGAATTATACTTTAAGCGCATTTCATTTGATTGTGTATTCTATTTTGTGCCTTCGGCGGAAAGCATCCTCAGCTAATTGCAATAGATCGCTTTACATCTTGCAAACCTTTTTATTGATATATACCTACAATCTAACATGCGCTTATCAAAATCCACACTTCTTTGTTTAAAAATCTATTACCGACAAATGTCGCTAGAAGAAATACTTTTGAGGAAGTAATGTCAATACAATGTAGTTTATTTTCTTTTATGCTCCGAAGAAGATTTCCTGACCATGATTTCTAGACTCAAAACTTGACGATGCACAATTCATTTAATTAACCTCTATATATATCTGTCTTTCATTTCTAAAGTTCAATCATCCGTGACGCTGGGACCTGGAGGAAGAGTGTTAGCTCACACCTCGAACGGAACAGGGACGGTGTGCAGTGACCAGTGGGATGATATGGACGCTGACGTTGTTTGTCGACAGATGGGATATCCTTCTGGAACTGCCAGTTTTCATCCACGTGACTACATGTACAATCACGTCATCTTTAATGTTCGTTGTCAGGGTAACGAAAGTCATGTAGAGCAATGTCCAGTGGACCACTCGGACATGTTTGGAAACTGTGCTTATCATGGTGACGCCGGGGTTAATTGCATGAATACGTCTCACGGTTAGTGTTTTATTTAAATTGTTAAATTACATACAGTACCAAGATATCTAAGAACTAGACAGAATTGAGTAGGAATAGAGATGTTATTTTGCTTAGTAGACAGGAGAGCTTTTTGTTTCGGAAGAGTTTCCCATCACTCAAAGAGTTTGTGATTTCTCAGTGATATTGTAATCCAAAATAAAAGTTGAAGGTGTAAACAAAATCCGAATGTCACTTTTTTGTAACATCTTGAAGATTTGATAAGAATTGCAAAAGAACCAACACAGAAGTTAGCTGTAGAAAGGCCAAAAGAACCAGTAATTTTTATGTTAATTAGGAAAGATTTTACCAAGAAACCACGGTAAACAATTGATGACTTGAGTTTTGTTTCCGAAAAGTGTCAAGAAAGTAAAAGAATGCTTTCATGAATTTTCTCAGCTATGCAATCCATTGTATCTGTCGGACCCAGTGGAAGAGTATTTGTTCACAGTAACACGACTGGCACGGTATGCGGTAACATGTGGGATGACGTAGATGCTAATGTCGTTTGCCGTCAGATGGGATTTTCCTCCGGAACTGCAATCCACTTGCCACGTGATTACACGTACAACCGCCTGTTATATAATGTCAATTGTTTCGGACACGAGTTCCAACTTCAATCTTGTCAGGGTGAAGACTATGATATGTCAGGAATGTGTGGATATGCTGATGATGCAGGTGTTTCCTGCAGTAACATGACCAGTGGTAAGATTGGAGAGTATGGACATGAAGAAAATGTCTAAGCCTTTAAGTAGTTATTTCTAAGACAAATGAGAATGCACTACTGAAAAGAGAAAAACACACACCATGTGAGAATTATACTTTAAGCGCATTTCATTTGATTGTGTATTCTATTTTGTGCCTTCGGCGGAAAGCATCCTCAGCTAATTGCAATAGATCGCTTTACATCTTGCAAACCTTTTTATTGATATATACCTACAATCTAACATGCGCTTATCAAAATCCACACTTCTTTGTTTAAAAATCTATTACCGACAAATGTCGCTAGATGAAATACTTTTGAGGAAGTAATGTCAATACAATGTAGTTTATTTTCTTTTATGCTCCGAAGAAGATTTCCTGACCATGATTTCTAGACTCAAAACTTGACGATGCACAATTCATTTAATTAACCTCTATATCTGTCTTTCATTTCTAAAGTTCAATCATCCGTGACGCTGGGACCTGGAGGAAGAGTGTTAGCTCACACCTCGAACGGAACAGGGACGGTGTGCAGTGACCAGTGGGATGATATGGACGCTGACGTTGTTTGTCGACAGATGGGATATCCTTCTGGAACTGCCAGTTTTCATCCACGTGACTACATGTACAATCACGTCATCTTTAATGTTCGTTGTCAGGGTAACGAAAGTCATGTAGAGCAATGTCCAGTGGACCACTCGGACATGTTTGGAAACTGTGCTTATCATGGTGACGCCGGGGTTAATTGCATGAATACGTCTCACGGTTAGTGTTTTATTTAAATTGTTAAATTACATACAGTACCAAGATATCTAAGAACTAGACAGAATTGAGTAGGAATAGAGATGTTATTTTGTTTAGTAGACAGGAGAGCTTTTTGTTTCGGAAGAGTTTCCCATCACTCAAAGAGTTTGTGATTTCTCAGTGATGTTGTAATCCAAAATAAAAGTTGAAGGTGTAAACAAAATCCGAATGTCACTTTTTTGTAACATCTTGAAGATTTGATAAGAATTGCAAAAGAACCAACACAGAAGTTAGCTGTAGAAAGGCCAAAAGAACCAGTAATTTTTATGTTAATTAGGAAAGATTTTACCAAGAAACCACGGTAAACAATTGATGACTTGAGTTTTGTTTCCGAAAAGTGTCAAGAAAGTAAAAGAATGCTTTCATGAATTTTCTCAGCTATGCAATCCATTGTATCTGTCGGACCCAGTGGAAGAGTATTTGTTCACAGTAACACGACTGGCACGGTATGCGGTAACATGTGGGATGACGTAGATGCTAATGTCGTCTGCCGTCAGATGGGATTTTCCTCCGGAACTGCAATCCACTTGCCACGTGATTACACGTACAACCGCCTGTTATATAATGTCAATTGTTTCGGACACGAGTCCCAACTTCAATCTTGTCAGGGTGAAGACTATGATATGTCAGGAATGTGTGGATATGCTGATGATGCAGGTGTTTCCTGCAGTAACATGACCAGTGGTAAGATTGGAGAGTATGGACATGAAGAAAATGTCTAAGCCTTTAAGTAGTTATTTCTAAGACAAATGAGAATGCACTACTGAAAAGAGAAAAACACACACCATGTGAGATTTATACTTTAAGCGCATTTCATTTGATTGTGTATTCTATTTTGTGCCTTCGGCGGAAAGCATCCTCAGCTAATTGCAATAGATCGCTTTACATCTTGCAAACCTTTTTATTGATATATACCTACAATCTAACATGCGCTTATCAAAATCCACACTTCTTTGTTTAAAAATCTATTACCGACAAATGTCGCTAGATGAAATACTTTTGAGGAAGTAATGTCAATACAATGTAGTTTATTTTCTTTTATGCTCCGAAGAAGATTTCCTGACCATGATTTCTAGACTCAAAACTTGACGATGCACAATTCATTTAATTAACCTCTATATATATCTGTCTTTCATTTCTAAAGTTCAATCATCCGTGACGCTGGGACCTGGAGGAAGAGTGTTAGCTCACACCTCGAACGGAACAGGGACGGTGTGCAGTGACCAGTGGGATGATATGGACGCTGACGTTGTTTGTCGACAGATGGGATATCCTTCTGGAACTGCCAGTTTTCATCCACGTGACTACATGTACAATCACGTCATCTTTAATGTTCGTTGTCAGGGTAACGAAAGTCATGTAGAGCAATGTCCAGTGGACCACTCGGACATGTTTGGAAACTGTGCTTATCATGGTGACGCCGGGGTTAATTGCATGAATACGTCTCACGGTTAGTGTTTTATTTAAATTGTTAAATTACATACAGTACCAAGATATCTAAGAACTAGACAGAATTGAGTAGGAATAGAGATGTTATTTTGTTTAGTAGACAGGAGAGCTTTTTGTTTCGGAAGAGTTTCCCATCACTCAAAGAGTTTGTGATTTCTCAGTGATATTGTAATCCAAAATAAAAGTTGAAGGTGTAAACAAAATCCGAATGTCACTTTTTTGTAACATCTTGAAGATTTGATAAGAATTGCAAAAGAACCAACACAGAAGTTAGCTGTAGAAAGGCCAAAAGAACCAGTAATTTTTATGTTAATTAGGAAAGATTTTACCAAGAAACCACGGTAAACAATTGATGACTTGAGTTTTGTTTCCGAAAAGTGTCAAGAAAGTAAAAGAATGCTTTCATGAATTTTCTCAGCTATGCAATCCATTGTATCTGTCGGACCCAGTGGAAGAGTATTTGTTCACAGTAACACGACTGGCACGGTATGCGGTAACATGTGGGATGACGTAGATGCTAATGTCGTCTGCCGTCAGATGGGATTTTCCTCCGGAACTGCAATCCACTTGCCACGTGATTACACGTACAACCGCCTGTTATATAATGTCAATTGTTTCGGACACGAGTCCCAACTTCAATCTTGTCAGGGTGAAGACTATGATATGTCAGGAATGTGTGGATATGCTGATGATGCAGGTGTTTCCTGCAGTAACATGACCAGTGGTAAGATTGGAGAGTATGGACATGAAGAAAATGTCTAAGCCTTTAAGTAGTTATTTCTAAGACAAATGAGAATGCACTACTGAAAAGAGAAAAACACACACCATGTGAGATTTATACTTTAAGCGCATTTCATTTGATTGTGTATTCTATTTTGTGCCTTCGGCGGAAAGCATCCTCAGCTAATTGCAATAGATCGCTTTACATCTTGCAAACCTTTTTATTGATATATACCTACAATCTAACATGCGCTTATCAAAATCCACACTTCTTTGTTTAAAAATCTATTACCGACAAATGTCGCTAGATGAAATACTTTTGAGGAAGTAATGTCAATACAATGTAGTTCATTTTCTTTTATGCTCCGAAGAAGATTTCCTGACCATGATTTCTAGACTCAAAACTTGACGATGCACAATTCATTTAATTAACCTCTATATCTGTCTTTCATTTCTAAAGTTCAATCATCCGTGACGCTGGGACCTGGAGGAAGAGTGTTAGCTCACACCTCGAACGGAACAGGGACGGTGTGCAGTGACCAGTGGGATGATATGGACGCTGACGTTGTTTGTCGACAGATGGGATATCCTTCTGGAACTGCCAGTTTTCATCCACGTGACTACATGTACAATCACGTCATCTTTAATGTTCGTTGTCAGGGTAACGAAAGTCATGTAGAGCAATGTCCAGTGGACCACTCGGACATGTTTGGAAACTGTGCTTATCATGGTGACGCCGGAGTTAATTGCATGAATACGTCTCACGGTTAGTGTTTTATTTAAATTGTTAAATTACATACAGTACCAAGATATCTAAGAACTAGACAGAATTGAGTAGGAATAGAGATGTTATTTTGTTTAGTAGACAGGAGAGCTTTTTGTTTCGGAAGAGTTTCCCATCACTCAAAGAGTTTGTGATTTCTCAGTGATATTGTAATCCAAAATAAAAGTTGAAGGTGTAAACAAAATCCGAATGTCACTTTTTTGTAACATCTTGAAGATTTGATAAGAATTGCAAAAGAACCAACACAGAAGTTAGCTGTAGAAAGGCCAAAAGAACCAGTAATTTTTATGTTAATTAGGAAAGATTTTACCAAGAAACCACGGTAAACAATTGATGACTTGAGTTTTGTTTCCGAAAAGTGTCAAGAAAGTAAAAGAATGCTTTCATGAATTTTCTCAGCTATGCAATCCATTGTATCTGTCGGACCCAGTGGAAGAGTATTTGTTCACAGTAACACGACTGGCACGGTATGCGGTAACATGTGGGATGACGTAGATGCTAATGTCGTCTGCCGTCAGATGGGATTTTCCTCCGGAACTGCAATCCACTTGCCACGTGATTACACGTACAACCGCCTGTTATATAATGTCAATTGTTTCGGACACGAGTCCCAACTTCAATCTTGTCAGGGTGAAGACTATGACATGTCAGGAATGTGTGGATATGCTGATGATGCAGGTGTTTCCTGCAGTAACATGACCAGTGGTAAGATTGGAGAGTATGGACATGAAGAAAATGTCTAAGCCTTTAAGTAGTTATTTCTAAGACAAATGAGAATGCACTACTGAAAAGAGAAAAACACACACCATGTGAGATTTATACTTTAAGCGCATTTCATTTGATTGTGTATTCTATTTTGTGCCTTCGGCGGAAAGCATCCTCAGCTAATTGCAATAGATCGCTTTACATCTTGCAAACCTTTTTATTGATATATACCTACAATCTAACATGCGCTTATCAAAATCCACACTTCTTTGTTTAAAAATCTATTACCGACAAATGTCGCTAGATGAAATACTTTTGAGGAAGTAATGTCAATACAATGTAGTTTATTTTCTTTTATGCTCCGAAGAAGATTTCCTGACCATGATTTCTAGACTCAAAACTTGACGATGCACAATTCATTTAATTAACCTCTATATCTGTCTTTCATTTCTAAAGTTCAATCATCCGTGACGCTGGGACCTGGAGGAAGAGTGTTAGCTCACACCTCGAACGGAACAGGGACGGTGTGCAGTGACCAGTGGGATGATATGGACGCTGACGTTGTTTGTCGACAGATGGGATATCCTTCTGGAACTGCCAGTTTTCATCCACGTGACTACATGTACAATCACGTCATCTTTAATGTTCGTTGTCAGGGTAACGAAAGTCATGTAGAGCAATGTCCAGTGGACCACTCGGACATGTTTGGAAACTGTGCTTATCATGGTGACGCCGGAGTTAATTGCATGAATACGTCTCACGGTTAGTGTTTTATTTAAATTGTTAAATTACATACAGTACCAAGATATCTAAGAACTAGACAGAATTGAGTAGGAATAGAGATGTTATTTTGTTTAGTAGACAGGAGAGCTTTTTGTTTCGGAAGAGTTTCCCATCACTCAAAGAGTTTGTGATTTCTCAGTGATATTGTAATCCAAAATAAAAGTTGAAGGTGTAAACAAAATCCGAATGTCACTTTTTTGTAACATCTTGAAGATTTGATAAGAATTGCAAAAGAACCAACACAGAAGTTAGCTGTAGAAAGGCCAAAAGAACCAGTAATTTTTATGTTAATTAGGAAAGATTTTACCAAGAAACCACGGTAAACAATTGATGACTTGAGTTTTGTTTCCGAAAAGTGTCAAGAAAGTAAAAGAATGCTTTCATGAATTTTCTCAGCTATGCAATCCATTGTATCTGTCGGACCCAGTGGAAGAGTATTTGTTCACAGTAACACGACTGGCACGGTATGCGGTAACATGTGGGATGACGTAGATGCTAATGTCGTCTGCCGTCAGATGGGATTTTCCTCCGGAACTGCAATCCACTTGCCACGTGATTACACGTACAACCGCCTGTTATATAATGTCAATTGTTTCGGACACGAGTCCCAACTTCAATCTTGTCAGGGTGAAGACTATGACATGTCAGGAATGTGTGGATATGCTGATGATGCAGGTGTTTCCTGCAGTAACATGACCAGTGGTAAGATTGGAGAGTATGGACATGAAGAAAATGTCTAAGCCTTTAAGTAGTTATTTCTAAGACAAATGAGAATGCACTACTGAAAAGAGAAAAACACACACCATGTGAGATTTATACTTTAAGCGCATTTCATTTGATTGTGTATTCTATTTTGTGCCTTCGGCGGAAAGCATCCTCAGCTAATTGCAATAGATCGCTTTACATCTTGCAAACCTTTTTATTGATATATACCTACAATCTAACATGCGCTTATCAAAATCCACACTTCTTTGTTTAAAAATCTATTACCGACAAATGTCGCTAGATGAAATACTTTTGAGGAAGTAATGTCAATACAATGTAGTTTATTTTCTTTTATGCTCCGAAGAAGATTTCCTGACCATGATTTCTAGACTCAAAACTTGACGATGCACAATTCATTTAATTAACCTCTATATCTGTCTTTCATTTCTAAAGTTCAATCATCCGTGACGCTGGGACCTGGAGGAAGAGTGTTAGCTCACACCTCGAACGGAACAGGGACGGTGTGCAGTGACCAGTGGGATGATATGGACGCTGACGTTGTTTGTCGACAGATGGGATATCCTTCTGGAACTGCCAGTTTTCATCCACGTGACTACATGTACAATCACGTCATCTTTAATGTTCGTTGTCAGGGTAACGAAAGTCATGTAGAGCAATGTCCAGTGGACCACTCGGACATGTTTGGAAACTGTGCTTATCATGGTGACGCCGGGGTTAATTGCATGAATACGTCTCACGGTTAGTGTTTTATTTAAATTGTTAAATTACATACAGTACCAAGATATCTAAGAACTAGACAGAATTGAGTAGGAATAGAGATGTTATTTTGTTTAGTAGACAGGAGAGCTTTTTGTTTCGGAAGAGTTTCCCATCACTCAAAGAGTTTGTGATTTCTCAGTGATATTGTAATCCAAAATAAAAGTTGAAGGTGTAAACAAAATCCGAATGTCACTTTTTTTGTAACATCTTGAAGATTTGATAAGAATTGCAAAAGAACCAACACAGAAGTTAGCTGTAGAAAGGCCAAAAGAACCAGTAATTTTTATGTTAATTAGGAAAGATTTTACCAAGAAACCACGGTAAACAATTGATGACTTGAGTTTTGTTTCCGAAAAGTGTCAAGAAAGTAAAAGAATGCTTTCATGAATTTTCTCAGCTATGCAATCCATTGTATCTGTCGGACCCAGTGGAAGAGTATTTGTTCACAGTAACACGACTGGCACGGTATGCGGTAACATGTGGGATGACGTAGATGCTAATGTCGTCTGCCGTCAGATGGGATTTTCCTCCGGAACTGCAATCCACTTGCCACGTGATTACACGTACAACCGCCTGTTATATAATGTCAATTGTTTCGGACACGAGTCCCAACTTCAATCTTGTCAGGGTGAAGACTATGACATGTCAGGAATGTGTGGATATGCTGATGATGCAGGTGTTTCCTGCAGTAACATGACCAGTGGTAAGATTGGAGAGTATGGACATGAAGAAAATGTCTAAGCCTTTAAGTAGTTATTTCTAAGACAAATGAGAATGCACTACTGAAAAGAGAAAAACACACACCATGTGAGATTTATACTTTAAGCGCATTTCATTTGATTGTGTATTCTTTTTTGTGCCTTCGGCGGAAAGCATCCTCAGCTAATTGCAATAGATCGCTTTACATCTTGCAAACCTTTTTATTGATATATACCTACAATCTAACATGCGCTTATCAAAATCCACACTTCTTTGTTTAAAAATCTATTACCGACAAATGTCGCTAGATGAAATACTTTTGAGGAAGTAATGTCAATACAATGTAGTTTATTTTCTTTTATGCTCCGAAGAAGATTTCCTGACCATGATTTCTAGACTCAAAACTTGACGATGCACAATTCATTTAATTAACCTCTATATCTGTCTTTCATTTCTAAAGTTCAATCATCCGTGACGCTGGGACCTGGAGGAAGAGTGTTAGCTCACACCTCGAACGGAACAGGGACGGTGTGCAGTGACCAGTGGGATGATATGGACGCTGACGTTGTTTGTCGACAGATGGGATATCCTTCTGGAACTGCCAGTTTTCATCCACGTGACTACATGTACAATCACGTCATCTTTAATGTTCGTTGTCAGGGTAACGAAAGTCATGTAGAGCAATGTCCAGTGGACCACTCGGACATGTTTGGAAACTGTGCTTATCATGGTGACGCCGGGGTTAATTGCATGAATACGTCTCACGGTTAGTGTTTTATTTAAATTGTTAAATTACATACAGTACCAAGATATCTAAGAACTAGACAGAATTGAGTAGGAATAGAGATGTTATTTTGTTTAGTAGACAGGAGAGCTTTTTGTTTCGGAAGAGTTTCCCATCACTCAAAGAGTTTGTGATTTCTCAGTGATATTGTAATCCAAAATAAAAGTTGAAGGTGTAAACAAAATCCGAATGTCACTTTTTTGTAACATCTTGAAGATTTGATAAGAATTGCAAAAGAACCAACACAGAAGTTTGCTGTAGAAAGGCCAAAAGAACCAGTAATTTTTATGTTAATTAGGAAAGATTTTACCAAGAAACCACGGTAAACAATTGATGACTTGAGTTTTGTTTCCGAAAAGTGTCAAGAAAGTAAAAGAATGCTTTCATGAATTTTCTCAGCTATGCAATCCATTGTATCTGTCGGACCCAGTGGAAGAGTATTTGTTCACAGTAACACGACTGGCACGGTATGCGGTAACATGTGGGATGACGTAGATGCTAATGTCGTCTGCCGTCAGATGGGATTTTCCTCCGGAACTGCAATCCACTTGCCACGTGATTACACGCACAACCGCCTGTTATATAATGTCAATTGTTTCGGACACGAGTCCCAACTTCAATCTTGTCAGGGTGAAGACTATGACATGTCAGGAATGTGTGGATATGCTGATGATGCAGGTGTTTCCTGCAGTAACATGACCAGTGGTAAGATTGGAGAGTATGGACATGAAGAAAATGTCTAAGCCTTTAAGTAGTTATTTCTAAGACAAATGAGAATGCACTACTGAAAAGAGAAAAACACACACCATGTGAGATTTATACTTTAAGCGCATTTCATTTGATTGTGTATTCTATTTTGTGCCTTCGGCGGAAAGCATCCTCAGCTAATTGCAATAGATCGCTTTACATCTTGCAAACCTTTTTATTGATATATACCTACAATCTAACATGCGCTTATCAAAATCCACACTTCTTTGTTTAAAAATCTATTACCGACAAATGTCGCTAGATGAAATACTTTTGAGGAAGTAATGTCAATACAATGTAGTTTATTTTCTTTTATGCTCCGAAGAAGATTTCCTGACCATGATTTCTAGACTCAAAACTTGACGATGCACAATTCATTTAATTAACCTCTATATCTGTCTTTCATTTCTAAAGTTCAATCATCCGTGACGCTGGGACCTGGAGGAAGAGTGTTAGCTCACACCTCGAACGGAACAGGGACGGTGTGCAGTGACCAGTGGGATGATATGGACGCTGACGTTGTTTGTCGACAGATGGGATATCCTTCTGGAACTGCCAGTTTTCATCCACGTGACTACATGTACAATCACGTCATCTTTAATGTTCGTTGTCAGGGTAACGAAAGTCATGTAGAGCAATGTCCAGTGGACCACTCGGACATGTTTGGAAACTGTGCTTATCATGGTGACGCCGGAGTTAATTGCATGAATACGTCTCACGGTTAGTGTTTTATTTAAATTGTTAAATTACATACAGTACCAAGATATCTAAGAACTAGACAGAATTGAGTAGGAATAGAGATGTTATTTTGCTTAGTAGACAGGAGAGCTTTTTGTTTCGGAAGAGTTTCCCATCACTCAAAGAGTTTGTGATTTCTCAGTGATATTGTAATCCAAAATAAAAGTTGAAGGTGTAAACAAAATCCGAATGTCACTTTTTTGTAACATCTTGAAGATTTGATAAGAATTGCAAAAGAACCAACACAGAAGTTAGCTGTAGAAAGGCCAAAAGAACCAGTAATTTTTATGTTAATTAGGAAAGATTTTACCAAGAAACCACGGTAAACAATTGATGACTTGAGTTTTGTTTCCGAAAAGTGTCAAGAAAGTAAAAGAATGCTTTCATGAATTTTCTCAGCTATGCAATCCATTGTATCTGTCGGACCCAGTGGAAGAGTATTTGTTCACAGTAACACGACTGGCACGGTATGCGGTAACATGTGGGATGACGTAGATGCTAATGTCGTCTGCCGTCAGATGGGATTTTCCTCCGGAACTGCAATCCACTTGCCACGTGATTACACGTACAACCGCCTGTTATATAATGTCAATTGTTTCGGACACGAGTCCCAACTTCAATCTTGTCAGGGTGAAGACTATGACATGTCAGGAATGTGTGGATATGCTGATGATGCAGGTGTTTCCTGCAGTAACATGACCAGTGGTAAGATTGGAGAGTATGGACATGAAGAAAATGTCTAAGCCTTTAAGTAGTTATTTCTAAGACAAATGAGAATGCACTACTGAAAAGAGAAAAACACACACCATGTGAGATTTATACTTTAAGCGCATTTCATTTGATTGTGTATTCTATTTTGTGCCTTCGGCGGAAAGCATCCTCAGCTAATTGCAATAGATCGCTTTACATCTTGCAAACCTTTTTATTGATATATACCTACAATCTAACATGCGCTTATCAAAATCCACACTTCTTTGTTTAAAAATCTATTACCGACAAATGTCGCTAGATGAAATACTTTTGAGGAAGTAATGTCAATACAATGTAGTTTATTTTCTTTTATGCTCCGAAGAAGATTTCCTGACCATGATTTCTAGACTCAAAACTTGACGATGCACAATTCATTTAATTAACCTCTATATCTGTCTTTCATTTCTAAAGTTCAATCATCCGTGACGCTGGGACCTGGAGGAAGAGTGTTAGCTCACACCTCGAACGGAACAGGGACGGTGTGCAGTGACCAGTGGGATGATATGGACGCTGACGTTGTTTGTCGACAGATGGGATATCCTTCTGGAACTGCCAGTTTTCATCCACGTGACTACATGTACAATCACGTCATCTTTAATGTTCGTTGTCAGGGTAACGAAAGTCATGTAGAGCAATGTCCAGTGGACCACTCGGACATGTTTGGAAACTGTGCTTATCATGGTGACGCCGGGGTTAATTGCATGAATACGTCTCACGGTTAGTGTTTTATTTAAATTGTTAAATTACATACAGTACCAAGATATCTAAGAACTAGACAGAATTGAGTAGGAATAGAGATGTTATTTTGCTTAGTAGACAGGAGAGCTTTTTGTTTCGGAAGAGTTTCCCATCACTCAAAGAGTTTGTGATTTCTCAGTGATATTGTAATCCAAAATAAAAGTTGAAGGTGTAAACAAAATCCGAATGTCACTTTTTTGTAACATCTTGAAGATTTGATAAGAATTGCAAAAGAACCAACACAGAAGTTAGCTGTAGAAAGGCCAAAAGAACCAGTAATTTTTATGTTAATTAGGAAAGATTTTACCAAGAAACCACGGTAAACAATTGATGACTTGAGTTTTGTTTCCGAAAAGTGTCAAGAAAGTAAAAGAATGCTTTCATGAATTTTCTCAGCTATGCAATCCATTGTATCTGTCGGACCCAGTGGAAGAGTATTTGTTCACAGTAACACGACTGGCACGGTATGCGGTAACATGTGGGATGACGTAGATGCTAATGTCGTCTGCCGTCAGATGGGATTTTCCTCCGGAACTGCAATCCACTTGCCACGTGATTACACGTACAACCGCCTGTTATATAATGTCAATTGTTTCGGACACGAGTCCCAACTTCAATCTTGTCAGGGTGAAGACTATGACATGTCAGGAATGTGTGGATATGCTGATGATGCAGGTGTTTCCTGCAGTAACATGACCAGTGGTAAGATTGGAGAGTATGGACATGAAGAAAATGTCTAAGCCTTTAAGTAGTTATTTCTAAGACAAATGAGAATGCACTACTGAAAAGAGAAAAACACACACCATGTGAGATTTATACTTTAAGCGCATTTCATTTGATTGTGTATTCTATTTTGTGCCTTCGGCGGAAAGCATCCTCAGCTAATTGCAATAGATCGCTTTACATCTTGCAAACCTTTTTATTGATATATACCTACAATCTAACATGCGCTTATCAAAATCCACACTTCTTTGTTTAAAAATCTATTACCGACAAATGTCGCTAGATGAAATACTTTTGAGGAAGTAATGTCAATACAATGTAGTTTATTTTCTTTTATGCTCCGAAGAAGATTTCCTGACCATGATTTCTAGACTCAAAACTTGACGATGCACAATTCATTTAATTAACCTCTATATCTGTCTTTCATTTCTAAAGTTCAATCATCCGTGACGCTGGGACCTGGAGGAAGAGTGTTAGCTCACACCTCGAACGGAACAGGGACGGTGTGCAGTGACCAGTGGGATGATATGGACGCTGACGTTGTTTGTCGACAGATGGGATATCCTTCTGGAACTGCCAGTTTTCATCCACGTGACTACATGTACAATCACGTCATCTTTAATGTTCGTTGTCAGGGTAACGAAAGTCATGTAGAGCAATGTCCAGTGGACCACTCGGACATGTTTGGAAACTGTGCTTATCATGGTGACGCCGGGGTTAATTGCATGAATACGTCTCACGGTTAGTGTTTTATTTAAATTGTTAAATTACATACAGTACCAAGATATCTAAGAACTAGACAGAATTGAGTAGGAATAGAGATGTTATTTTGTTTAGTAGACAGGAGAGCTTTTTGTTTCGGAAGAGTTTCCCATCACTCAAAGAGTTTGTGATTTCTCAGTGATATTGTAATCCAAAATAAAAGTTGAAGGTGTAAACAAAATCCGAATGTCACTTTTTTGTAACATCTTGAAGATTTGATAAGAATTGCAAAAGAACCAACACAGAAGTTAGCTGTAGAAAGGCCAAAAGAACCAGTAATTTTTATGTTAATTAGGAAAGATTTTACCAAGAAACCACGGTAAACAATTGATGACTTGAGTTTTGTTTCCGAAAAGTGTCAAGAAAGTAAAAGAATGCTTTCATGAATTTTCTCAGCTATGCAATCCATTGTATCTGTCGGACCCAGTGGAAGAGTATTTGTTCACAGTAACACGACTGGCACGGTATGCGGTAACATGTGGGATGACGTAGATGCTAATGTCGTCTGCCGTCAGATGGGATTTTCCTCCGGAACTGCAATCCACTTGCCACGTGATTACACGCACAACCGCCTGTTATATAATGTCAATTGTTTCGGACACGAGTCCCAACTTCAATCTTGTCAGGGTGAAGACTATGACATGTCAGGAATGTGTGGATATGCTGATGATGCAGGTGTTTCCTGCAGTAACATGACCAGTGGTAAGATTGGAGAGTATGGACATGAAGAAAATGTCTAAGCCTTTAAGTAGTTATTTCTAAGACAAATGAGAATGCACTACTGAAAAGAGAAAAACACACACCATGTGAGATTTATACTTTAAGCGCATTTCATTTGATTGTGTATTCTATTTTGTGCCTTCGGCGGAAAGCATCCTCAGCTAATTGCAATAGATCGCTTTACATCTTGCAAACCTTTTTATTGATATATACCTACAATCTAACATGCGCTTATCAAAATCCACACTTCTTTGTTTAAAAATCTATTACCGACAAATGTCGCTAGATGAAATACTTTTGAGGAAGTAATGTCAATACAATGTAGTTTATTTTCTTTTATGCTCCGAAGAAGATTTCCTGACCATGATTTCTAGACTCAAAACTTGACGATGCACAATTCATTTAATTAACCTCTATATCTGTCTTTCATTTCTAAAGTTCAATCATCCGTGACGCTGGGACCTGGAGGAAGAGTGTTAGCTCACACCTCGAACGGAACAGGGACGGTGTGCAGTGACCAGTGGGATGATATGGACGCTGACGTTGTTTGTCGACAGATGGGATATCCTTCTGGAACTGCCAGTTTTCATCCACGTGACTACATGTACAATCACGTCATCTTTAATGTTCGTTGTCAGGGTAACGAAAGTCATGTAGAGCAATGTCCAGTGGACCACTCGGACATGTTTGGAAACTGTGCTTATCATGGTGACGCCGGGGTTAATTGCATGAATACGTCTCACGGTTAGTGTTTTATTTAAATTGTTAAATTACATACAGTACCAAGATATCTAAGAACTAGACAGAATTGAGTAGGAATAGAGATGTTATTTTGCTTAGTAGACAGGAGAGCTTTTTGTTTCGGAAGAGTTTCCCATCACTCAAAGAGTTTGTGATTTCTCAGTGATATTGTAATCCAAAATAAAAGTTGAAGGTGTAAACAAAATCCGAATGTCACTTTTTTGTAACATCTTGAAGATTTGATAAGAATTGCAAAAGAACCAACACAGAAGTTAGCTGTAGAAAGGCCAAAAGAACCAGTAATTTTTATGTTAATTAGGAAAGATTTTACCAAGAAACCACGGTAAACAATTGATGACTTGAGTTTTGTTTCCGAAAAGTGTCAAGAAAGTAAAAGAATGCTTTCATGAATTTTCTCAGCTATGCAATCCATTGTATCTGTCGGACCCAGTGGAAGAGTATTTGTTCACAGTAACACGACTGGCACGGTATGCGGTAACATGTGGGATGACGTAGATGCTAATGTCGTCTGCCGTCAGATGGGATTTTCCTCCGGAACTGCAATCCACTTGCCACGTGATTACACGTACAACCGCCTGTTATATAATGTCAATTGTTTCGGACACGAGTCCCAACTTCAATCTTGTCAGGGTGAAGACTATGACATGTCAGGAATGTGTGGATATGCTGATGATGCAGGTGTTTCCTGCAGTAACATGACCAGTGGTAAGATTGGAGAGTATGGACATGAAGAAAATGTCTAAGCCTTTAAGTAGTTATTTCTAAGACAAATGAGAATGCACTACTGAAAAGAGAAAAACACACACCATGTGAGATTTATACTTTAAGCGCATTTCATTTGATTGTGTATTCTATTTTGTGCCTTCGGCGGAAAGCATCCTCAGCTAATTGCAATAGATCGCTTTACATCTTGCAAACCTTTTTATTGATATATACCTACAATCTAACATGCGCTTATCAAAATCCACACTTCTTTGTTTAAAAATCTATTACCGACAAATGTCGCTAGATGAAATACTTTTGAGGAAGTAATGTCAATACAATGTAGTTTATTTTCTTTTATGCTCCGAAGAAGATTTCCTGACCATGATTTCTAGACTCAAAACTTGACGATGCACAATTCATTTAATTAACCTCTATATCTGTCTTTCATTTCTAAAGTTCAATCATCCGTGACGCTGGGACCTGGAGGAAGAGTGTTAGCTCACACCTCGAACGGAACAGGGACGGTGTGCAGTGACCAGTGGGATGATATGGACGCTGACGTTGTTTGTCGACAGATGGGATATCCTTCTGGAACTGCCAGTTTTCATCCACGTGACTACATGTACAATCACGTCATCTTTAATGTTCGTTGTCAGGGTAACGAAAGTCATGTAGAGCAATGTCCAGTGGACCACTCGGACATGTTTGGAAACTGTGCTTATCATGGTGACGCCGGGGTTAATTGCATGAATACGTCTCACGGTTAGTGTTTTATTTAAATTGTTAAATTACATACAGTACCAAGATATCTAAGAACTAGACAGAATTGAGTAGGAATAGAGATGTTATTTTGCTTAGTAGACAGGAGAGCTTTTTGTTTCGGAAGAGTTTCCCATCACTCAAAGAGTTTGTGATTTCTCAGTGATATTGTAATCCAAAATAAAAGTTGAAGGTGTAAACAAAATCCGAATGTCACTTTTTTGTAACATCTTGAAGATTTGATAAGAATTGCAAAAGAACCAACACAGAAGTTAGCTGTAGAAAGGCCAAAAGAACCAGTAATTTTTATGTTAATTAGGAAAGATTTTACCAAGAAACCACGGTAAACAATTGATGACTTGAGTTTTGTTTCCGAAAAGTGTCAAGAAAGTAAAAGAATGCTTTCATGAATTTTCTCAGCTATGCAATCCATTGTATCTGTCGGACCCAGTGGAAGAGTATTTGTTCACAGTAACACGACTGGCACGGTATGCGGTAACATGTGGGATGACGTAGATGCTAATGTCGTCTGCCGTCAGATGGGATTTTCCTCCGGAACTGCAATCCACTTGCCACGTGATTACACGTACAACCGCCTGTTATATAATGTCAATTGTTTCGGACACGAGTCCCAACTTCAATCTTGTCAGGGTGAAGACTATGACATGTCAGGAATGTGTGGATATGCTGATGATGCAGGTGTTTCCTGCAGTAACATGACCAGTGGTAAGATTGGAGAGTATGGACATGAAGAAAATGTCTAAGCCTTTAAGTAGTTATTTCTAAGACAAATGAGAATGCACTACTGAAAAGAGAAAAACACACACCATGTGAGATTTATACTTTAAGCGCATTTCATTTGATTGTGTATTCTATTTTGTGCCTTCGGCGGAAAGCATCCTCAGCTAATTGCAATAGATCGCTTTACATCTTGCAAACCTTTTTATTGATATATACCTACAATCTAACATGCGCTTATCAAAATCCACACTTCTTTGTTTAAAAATCTATTACCGACAAATGTCGCTAGATGAAATACTTTTGAGGAAGTAATGTCAATACAATGTAGTTTATTTTCTTTTATGCTCCGAAGAAGATTTCCTGACCATGATTTCTAGACTCAAAACTTGACGATGCACAATTCATTTAATTAACCTCTATATCTGTCTTTCATTTCTAAAGTTCAATCATCCGTGACGCTGGGACCTGGAGGAAGAGTGTTAGCTCACACCTCGAACGGAACAGGGACGGTGTGCAGTGACCAGTGGGATGATATGGACGCTGACGTTGTTTGTCGACAGATGGGATATCCTTCTGGAACTGCCAGTTTTCATCCACGTGACTACATGTACAATCACGTCATCTTTAATGTTCGTTGTCAGGGTAACGAAAGTCATGTAGAGCAATGTCCAGTGGACCACTCGGACATGTTTGGAAACTGTGCTTATCATGGTGACGCCGGGGTTAATTGCATGAATACGTCTCACGGTTAGTGTTTTATTTAAATTGTTAAATTACATACAGTACCAAGATATCTAAGAACTAGACAGAATTGAGTAGGAATGGAGATGTTATTTTGTTTAGTAGACAGGAGAGCTTTTTGTTTCGGAAGAGTTTCCCATCACTCAAAGAGTTTGTGATTTCTCAGTGATATTGTAATCCAAAATAAAAGTTGAAGGTGTAAACAAAATCCGAATGTCACTTTTTTGTAACATCTTGAAGATTTGATAAGAATTGCAAAAGAACCAACACAGAAGTTTGCTGTAGAAAGGCCAAAAGAACCAGTAATTTTTATGTTAATTAGGAAAGATTTTACCAAGAAACCACGGTAAACAATTGATGACTTGAGTTTTGTTTCCGAAAAGTGTCAAGAAAGTAAAAGAATGCTTTCATGAATTTTCTCAGCTATGCAATCCATTGTATCTGTCGGACCCAGTGGAAGAGTATTTGTTCACAGTAACACGACTGGCACGGTATGCGGTAACATGTGGGATGACGTAGATGCTAATGTCGTCTGCCGTCAGATGGGATTTTCCTCCGGAACTGCAATCCACTTGCCACGTGATTACACGTACAACCGCCTGTTATATAATGTCAATTGTTTCGGACACGAGTCCCAACTTCAATCTTGTCAGGGTGAAGACTATGACATGTCAGGAATGTGTGGATATGCTGATGATGCAGGTGTTTCCTGCAGTAACATGACCAGTGGTAAGATTGGAGAGTATGGACATGAAGAAAATGTCTAAGCCTTTAAGTAGTTATTTCTAAGACAAATGAGAATGCACTACTGAAAAGAGAAAAACACACACCATGTGAGATTTATACTTTAAGCGCATTTCATTTGATTGTGTATTCTATTTTGTGCCTTCGGCGGAAAGCATCCTCAGCTAATTGCAATAGATCGCTTTACATCTTGCAAACCTTTTTATTGATATATACCTACAATCTAACATGCGCTTATCAAAATCCACACTTCTTTGTTTAAAAATCTATTACCGACAAATGTCGCTAGATGAAATACTTTTGAGGAAGTAATGTCAATACAATGTAGTTTATTTTCTTTTATGCTCCGAAGAAGATTTCCTGACCATGATTTCTAGACTCAAAACTTGACGATGCACAATTCATTTAATTAACCTCTATATCTGTCTTTCATTTCTAAAGTTCAATCATCCGTGACGCTGGGACCTGGAGGAAGAGTGTTAGCTCACACCTCGAACGGAACAGGGACGGTGTGCAGTGACCAGTGGGATGATATGGACGCTGACGTTGTTTGTCGACAGATGGGATATCCTTCTGGAACTGCCAGTTTTCATCCACGTGACTACATGTACAATCACGTCATCTTTAATGTTCGTTGTCAGGGTAACGAAAGTCATGTAGAGCAATGTCCAGTGGACCACTCGGACATGTTTGGAAACTGTGCTTATCATGGTGACGCCGGAGTTAATTGCATGAATACGTCTCACGGTTAGTGTTTTATTTAAATTGTTAAATTACATACAGTACCAAGATATCTAAGAACTAGACAGAATTGAGTAGGAATAGAGATGTTATTTTGTTTAGTAGACAGGAGAGCTTTTTGTTTCGGAAGAGTTTCCCATCACTCAAAGAGTTTGTGATTTCTCAGTGATATTGTAATCCAAAATAAAAGTTGAAGGTGTAAACAAAATCCGAATGTCACTTTTTTGTAACATCTTGAAGATTTGATAAGAATTGCAAAAGAACCAACACAGAAGTTAGCTGTAGAAAGGCCAAAAGAACCAGTAATTTTTATGTTAATTAGGAAAGATTTTACCAAGAAACCACGGTAAACAATTGATGACTTGAGTTTTGTTTCCGAAAAGTGTCAAGAAAGTAAAAGAATGCTTTCATGAATTTTCTCAGCTATGCAATCCATTGTATCTGTCGGACCCAGTGGAAGGGTATTTGTTCACAGTAACACGACTGGCACGGTATGCGGTAACATGTGGGATGACGTAGATGCTAATGTCGTCTGCCGTCAGATGGGATTTTCCTCCGGAACTGCAATCCACTTGCCACGTGATTACACGTACAACCGCCTGTTATATAATGTCAATTGTTTCGGACACGAGTCCCAACTTCAATCTTGTCAGGGTGAAGACTATGACATGTCAGGAATGTGTGGATATGCTGATGATGCAGGTGTTTCCTGCAGTAACATGACCAGTGGTAAGATTGGAGAGTATGGACATGAAGAAAATGTCTAAGCCTTTAAGTAGTTATTTCTAAGACAAATGAGAATGCACTACTGAAAAGAGAAAAACACACACCATGTGAGATTTATACTTTAAGCGCATTTCATTTGATTGTGTATTCTATTTTGTGCCTTCGGCGGAAAGCATCCTCAGCTAATTGCAATAGATCGCTTTACATCTTGCAAACCTTTTTATTGATATATACCTACAATCTAACATGCGCTTATCAAAATCCACACTTCTTTGTTTAAAAATCTATTACCGACAAATGTCGCTAGATGAAATACTTTTGAGGAAGTAATGTCAATACAATGTAGTTTATTTTCTTTTATGCTCCGAAGAAGATTTCCTGACCATGATTTCTAGACTCAAAACTTGACGATGCACAATTCATTTAATTAACCTCTATATCTGTCTTTCATTTCTAAAGTTCAATCATCCGTGACGCTGGGACCTGGAGGAAGAGTGTTAGCTCACACCTCGAACGGAACAGGGACGGTGTGCAGTGACCAGTGGGATGATATGGACGCTGACGTTGTTTGTCGACAGATGGGATATCCTTCTGGAACTGCCAGTTTTCATCCACGTGACTACATGTACAATCACGTCATCTTTAATGTTCGTTGTCAGGGTAACGAAAGTCATGTAGAGCAATGTCCAGTGGACCACTCGGACATGTTTGGAAACTGTGCTTATCATGGTGACGCCGGGGTTAATTGCATGAATACGTCTCACGGTTAGTGTTTTATTTAAATTGTTAAATTACATACAGTACCAAGATATCTAAGAACTAGACAGAATTGAGTAGGAATAGAGATGTTATTTTGTTTAGTAGACAGGAGAGCTTTTTGTTTCGGAAGAGTTTCCCATCACTCAAAGAGTTTGTGATTTCTCAGTGATATTGTAATCCAAAATAAAAGTTGAAGGTGTAAACAAAATCCGAATGTCACTTTTTTGTAACATCTTGAAGATTTGATAAGAATTGCAAAAGAACCAACACAGAAGTTAGCTGTAGAAAGGCCAAAAGAACCAGTAATTTTTATGTTAATTAGGAAAGATTTTACCAAGAAACCACGGTAAACAATTGATGACTTGAGTTTTGTTTCCGAAAAGTGTCAAGAAAGTAAAAGAATGCTTTCATGAATTTTCTCAGCTATGCAATCCATTGTATCTGTCGGACCCAGTGGAAGAGTATTTGTTCACAGTAACACGACTGGCACGGTATGCGGTAACATGTGGGATGACGTAGATGCTAATGTCGTCTGCCGTCAGATGGGATTTTCCTCCGGAACTGCAATCCACTTGCCACGTGATTACACGTACAACCGCCTGTTATATAATGTCAATTGTTTCGGACACGAGTCCCAACTTCAATCTTGTCAGGGTGAAGACTATGACATGTCAGGAATGTGTGGATATGCTGATGATGCAGGTGTTTCCTGCAGTAACATGACCAGTGGTAAGATTGGAGAGTATGGACATGAAGAAAATGTCTAAGCCTTTAAGTAGTTATTTCTAAGACAAATGAGAATGCACTACTGAAAAGAGAAAAACACACACCATGTGAGATTTATACTTTAAGCGCATTTCATTTGATTGTGTATTCTATTTTGTGCCTTCGGCGGAAAGCATCCTCAGCTAATTGCAATAGATCGCTTTACATCTTGCAAACCTTTTTATTGATATATACCTACAATCTAACATGCGCTTATCAAAATCCACACTTCTTTGTTTAAAAATCTATTACCGACAAATGTCGCTAGATGAAATACTTTTGAGGAAGTAATGTCAATACAATGTAGTTTATTTTCTTTTATGCTCCGAAGAAGATTTCCTGACCATGATTTCTAGACTCAAAACTTGACGATGCACAATTCATTTAATTAACCTCTATATCTGTCTTTCATTTCTAAAGTTCAATCATCCGTGACGCTGGGACCTGGAGGAAGAGTGTTAGCTCACACCTCGAACGGAACAGGGACGGTGTGCAGTGACCAGTGGGATGATATGGACGCTGACGTTGTTTGTCGACAGATGGGATATCCTTCTGGAACTGCCAGTTTTCATCCACGTGACTACATGTACAATCACGTCATCTTTAATGTTCGTTGTCAGGGTAACGAAAGTCATGTAGAGCAATGTCCAGTGGACCACTCGGACATGTTTGGAAACTGTGCTTATCATGGTGACGCCGGGGTTAATTGCATGAATACGTCTCACGGTTAGTGTTTTATTTAAATTGTTAAATTACATACAGTACCAAGATATCTAAGAACTAGACAGAATTGAGTAGGAATAGAGATGTTATTTTGTTTAGTAGACAGGAGAGCTTTTTGTTTCGGAAGAGTTTCCCATCACTCAAAGAGTTTGTGATTTCTCAGTGATATTGTAATCCAAAATAAAAGTTGAAGGTGTAAACAAAATCCGAATGTCACTTTTTTGTAACATCTTGAAGATTTGATAAGAATTGCAAAAGAACCAACACAGAAGTTAGCTGTAGAAAGGCCAAAAGAACCAGTAATTTTTATGTTAATTAGGAAAGATTTTACCAAGAAACCACGGTAAACAATTGATGACTTGAGTTTTGTTTCCGAAAAGTGTCAAGAAAGTAAAAGAATGCTTTCATGAATTTTCTCAGCTATGCAATCCATTGTATCTGTCGGACCCAGTGGAAGAGTATTTGTTCACAGTAACACGACTGGCACGGTATGCGGTAACATGTGGGATGACGTAGATGCTAATGTCGTCTGCCGTCAGATGGGATTTTCCTCCGGAACTGCAATCCACTTGCCACGTGATTACACGTACAACCGCCTGTTATATAATGTCAATTGTTTCGGACACGAGTCCCAACTTCAATCTTGTCAGGGTGAAGACTATGACATGTCAGGAATGTGTGGATATGCTGATGATGCAGGTGTTTCCTGCAGTAACATGACCAGTGGTAAGATTGGAGAGTATGGACATGAAGAAAATGTCTAAGCCTTTAAGTAGTTATTTCTAAGACAAATGAGAATGCACTACTGAAAAGAGAAAAACACACACCATGTGAGATTTATACTTTAAGCGCATTTCATTTGATTGTGTATTCTATTTTGTGCCTTCGGCGGAAAGCATCCTCAGCTAATTGCAATAGATCGCTTTACATCTTGCAAACCTTTTTATTGATATATACCTACAATCTAACATGCGCTTATCAAAATCCACACTTCTTTGTTTAAAAATCTATTACCGACAAATGTCGCTAGATGAAATACTTTTGAGGAAGTAATGTCAATACAATGTAGTTTATTTTCTTTTATGCTCCGAAGAAGATTTCCTGACCATGATTTCTAGACTCAAAACTTGACGATGCACAATTCATTTAATTAACCTCTATATCTGTCTTTCATTTCTAAAGTTCAATCATCCGTGACGCTGGGACCTGGAGGAAGAGTGTTAGCTCACACCTCGAACGGAACAGGGACGGTGTGCAGTGACCAGTGGGATGATATGGACGCTGACGTTGTTTGTCGACAGATGGGATATCCTTCTGGAACTGCCAGTTTTCATCCACGTGACTACATGTACAATCACGTCATCTTTAATGTTCGTTGTCAGGGTAACGAAAGTCATGTAGAGCAATGTCCAGTGGACCACTCGGACATGTTTGGAAACTGTGCTTATCATGGTGACGCCGGGGTTAATTGCATGAATACCACTCAAGGTTTGTTTGTTTTTATTAAAAAGATTAGTGATGTTGTTATTGACAATATCTATGTACTCTTTTAAGATCAACAGATTTTCAATCTGTCGGAATTTCCATTGGTATCAATAGGCAATTGCGCCCGTTATTTTCAAAGCCATTTTGTATTCACATGAAGCAGAATTTATTCAAAACATTCTACATGAAAAGAAGAAGTCTCTTTCTGTCGCCTCCAATTAAACATTTAAATATACTGACGACATTTTATCAAATAAAAAACTAATTTTTATTCCTAGGTTGATTTGATATTTCCTTTTGAACTCGAAATAAAAGATACAACAGAGTTTGACAAATCTGCTTCATATTTGGATTTTACTGGAAAAATAAAGTTAATGAAAATATAACAACAACACTTTATGATAAACGCGTTGAACTCAACTTTTCTTTCGTCAGCTTCCCTTATTTATGTAACAATAGACACACCTCCATATGGAGTTGTGTGTCCCACAGTTGATTCGAAACGCAGGAGTAGGCTCCACGTACGAACAATTTCTTAAACGAGGCAAGCTATTAACAAACAAGATAATTAAACAAGATTATCAACTTTTATAGTCACCATTTCGTAAGTTCTTTGATCGATACAAATGACCTTGTAAGCAAATACAATATATCATTAAGACGAATACTGACTGATGTTTCTCATACAAATTGCTAGGCCATTATTTACATACCGAATCGTCTTTGGATTTTTTTTTCATTTGCCTGATCATGAAAAGGAGCACAAGGTGGATGTGACCGGTCGACAGGGGAATGTTACTCCTTCATGGCACCTGATCCCGTCCCTGATATTTTTGGAAGTCCAAATTTGCTCTGCTCCCAATTTGTATTGTTTCGATGGACTTTTGAGCTTGTTTACTATTCGTTATCTCCATATTTAGTTTTAGTTTTTTTTTTTATCACATATGAGAAGTTTCTGTTTGGTTAGTTATTCATATTGAAATGAATATACAAAGTCATTCAATTTAAGATAGAGAGACAATCTTTCAAGACTTACCAAATTTGTTCCTAACCATGTTGATGTAAGTACACAAAGTATAAAGTTAATTTACTAACGAAATTTTGGAATTTTCCATGACAAGGTTATATGTTTTGTAAAGCATATATTTCAGAAAATTGTCTACAGAGATTTCACTTATTTTCCGATCATGACAAGGAGCACTCGGCGGGTGTGACCGGTTCGCAGGGGATGCTTACTCCTCCATGACACCTAATCCCACCTCTGATGTTTGAGAAGTCCGTGTTTGCTCTGCTCCTGATTCGTATTGTTTGAATGGACTTTTGTTTTTGTTTGTTTGTTTATTGTTTTTAAGTCCCTCTCACTTTTGTTTTTGTTATTTTGTTTATTGTTTAAGTCCCTCTCGAGAATTTTTCACTCATATGGAGAGCTGCAAATGTTGACCTATACTCGGCACTCAGGGTCATTGAGCAGTGAGGGATTTTTTTTCTGCCAGCACCTACTGCGACACGGGATCTCGGTTAATACGGTCTCATCCGAAGGACCAGTCTCCACGTCTCACAGTGGGATTCGAACCCGCGAATTAAGGATCAACTCTAGAGCGAACGCTCTAACCACTGCGCCATGCGGGCAACTTTTTGAGCTTGAATACTGTTCGTTATCTCCATATATTTCATTTGTACAGTTCGTGTCACATACTTGTAGACATTAAAAAAAACTCCTATGCCCTGCTATTTAGATTTTTAGAGTGGGGTTCCGGGAGTCTATGTGGTGGATGGGGTGTTTGGGAACTCTATCCCTGTACTCAAGCATCCGTGATTTTAGTGTGAACCAGATGATTTTTCCTTATCATACCTATACTATCCTTATTTAACGAGAATTTCGGTCACTGAACTACTAAGAAATGTCTAACCAATTATTACCTATCTTCAGAGTCTTCGTTATTGGTAATAATCAAGCATTAAGAGAGTATCGTCTATGTAAAACTACTCAGTCACTTTCAACAATTTTTGGCATATATGGCATCTTTTATTGAAGGGAAAAGGGTCTTGAATTCCATGGTCCCTTTCTCCTTGGGACCTGAGGGGTGGGGCTAAAACCATCAAATTTAATGATTCTTTACTCCTGGACTGCAAGCAGTTAAACTGTGCATGATTGTAAGCGTTGAGCCCTCTACCAAAATTGTGAAGTCCATGGCCATTGGTCAGGGTTCTGGAGATAGATTGATGCTTTGTTGTTCATATAGTAAAAATGCATACATTCTTTTAATATCTTCTCTGCTTCTGGTTGATAAGCATATTAACTACGTACTTGATTATAATGAGCAAGGATGCATCTTCCAACATTTTGAATGTTATGGCTCAAAGAGGTGGCTCCAAGGTTTTTAGTGTTGTTGGGAGGGGGGCTCTATAAAGTACACGGTGAATACCAGTATGCATTATTTCTTTGAAAATCTTCTCTGGTGCTGGGTACTAAACAAGCAAATGAAGAAAACATTTATGATAAGCAAGGGAACCTCTTCAAAAAATGTGAATTTCATAGCTCTGTGTCAGGGGTTCTGGTGTAGCTGCGGGGCTCTATTGATTATACAAATGTACAGTGAAAATGCATTAATTCTTTGGAAATCTTTTATTGTCCTTGTATAAATAGCTGACAACCTAAGTCATTGCGAGGAAGAGCAAGAGTGCCTTTTCCAAAATTTTGAAAATTCAAGGCCCATGTTTTAGGGGCTATGGAGTCAGGACGGGGCTCTATGGATTATATAGTGAAAATGTATTATTTCTTCGAAAACCTTCTCTACTCGTGGTTGTATTATACTCAGATGACCGTTAAGGCCCTTGGGCCTTTTGTTCTTACATCCTCCCATTGTTATTTTCACAATTTTGGACTTTACTGATACATAGATACACCTAGTAAACCAATGCTGGTTGCCTTGATGTAACTGCATGTTTTAAATTATGATTTTTTTTTTCATTAGATCTTGTCAATATGGTATACATTGGACATGATGGAAGAGTAATGGCAACACATAATGTCACCGGGTACACGGGGACGGTCTGTGGTTATCTATGGGATGATCTGGACGCTGATGTATTGTGCCAGCAGTTTGGTTACCCGTCAGGAGTTGCAAAACTGATGCCACGAGACTACAACTATGAAAGAGCTATATTTAATGTACAATGTACAGGAATGGAACCTGATGTTTATGCTTGTCCTGTTGATCACTCGGACACATCGGGCAACTGTGTTGTCGCTAGTGACGCAGGAGTTATTTGCCAAAATATATCGTCTCCCTCATCGTCATCTCAATACTCCCAATATGCATACCAATCCTCCCAATATTCTAATTATCAGTCTTTATCTTCATACACTCCAATGACCTCACAATATTCTCAATATCAATCAATGTCCCCTTATCCTACGATGTCCTCACAGTATTCTCAATACCCAACAATGTCCTCTTATCCTACGATGTCCTCACAATATTCTCAACACCCAACAATGTCCTCTAATCCTACGATGTCCTCACAATATTCTCAATACCCACCAATGTCTTCTTATCCTACGATGTCTTCACAGTATTCTCAACATCCGTCAATGTCCTCTTATCCTACGATGTCTTCACAGTATTCCCTATACCCATCGATGTCCTCTTATTCTACGATGTCCTCACAGTATTCACAGTACCCTCCGATGTCTTCTTATCCTATATTGTCTTCACAATCTTCTCAGTACCCACCGATGACCTCTTATCCTACAATGTCTTCACAATATTCTCAACATCCACCAATGTCATCTTATCCTATGATGTCATCACAGTATTCTCAACACCCACCAATGTCCTCTTATCCTACGATGTCTTCACAATATTCTCAACATCCACCGATGTCTTCTTATCCTACGATGTCCTCACAGAATTCACAACATCCACCAACGTCCCCTTATCCTACGATGTCCTCTCAGTATTCACAACATCCACCGATGTCCTCCTATCCTACGATGTCTTCACAACATTCTCAAAACCCAACAATGTCTTCTTATCTTACGATGTCCTCACAATATTCTCAACATCCGTCAATGTCGTCTTATCCTACGATGTCCTCTCAGTATTCACAACATCCACCGATGTCCTCTTATCCTACGATGTCTTCACAATATTCTCAACACCCAACAATGTCTTCTTATCTTACGATGTCCTCACAATATCCTCAACATCCGTCAATGTCCTCTTATCCTACGATGTCTTCACAGTATTCTCAATACCCATCGATGTCCTCTTATCCTTCGATGTCCTCACAGTATTCTCAGTTCCCACCAATGTCCTCTCATCCTACGATGTCCTCGCAATCTTCTCAGTACCCACCGATGTCCTCTTATCCTACAATGTCTTCACAATATTCTCAATATCCACCAATGTCTTCCTATCCTATGATGTCATCACAGTATTCTCAACAACCACCAATGTCCTCTTATCCTACAATGTCTTCACAATATTCTCAACATACACCGATGTCTTCTTATCCTACGATGTCCTCACAGAATTCACAACATCCACCAACGTCCCCTTATCCTACGATGTCCTCACAGTATTCTCAACATACACCAATGTCTTCCTATCCTACGATGTCTTCACAATATTCTCAATACCCATCGACGTCCTCTTATCCCACAATGTCTTCACAGTATTCGCAATATCTATCGTCAATGTCTTCACAATCGCAGTATCCCACGATGTCTTCGCAATATTCTCAACACCAATCAATTTCTTCTTACCCTTCCATATCTTCACAGAACTCACAATACCAGTCATTGTCCTCTTTTACTACAACATCGTCACAATATTCTCAATATTCATCAATGTCTTCAATGTCTATGCAATCAACAACAACTTCTCCTGCTATGCCAACCCAGCAAATGACTACCCAAGGTACACAAACCTCAGCTTCAGCTGGACAGACCACAACTTCTCCTTCAGCTGGACAGACCACAATTTCTTCAGCTGGACAGACCACAACTTCTCCTTCAGCTGGACAGACCACAACTTCTCCTTCAGCTGGACAGACCACAACTTCTTCATCTGGACAGACCACAACTTCTTCTTCAGCTGGACAGACCACAACTTCTTCAGCTGGACAGACCACAACGTCTCCTTCAGCTGGACAGACCACAACGTCTCCTTCAGCTGGACAGACTACAACTTCTTCTTCAGCTGGACAGACCACAACTTCTTCTTCAGCTGGACAGACCACAACGTCTTCTTCAGCTGCTCAGACCACTACGTCAAGTAATTGTCAGCCAGGATCTGGATCTTGTATCTTGCAAATGGATTCTTTAGGTGGTGGAGGTATGTTATATTTCTGATTTCATCAGCAAGAGTACAGGTTGGTGAAGTTTATGGCAATTTTTAGCAAGAGTAAAATTTATATTATTGTTGCATATTTAAAATGATTTTTCTTTTTTCCAGCGGATTCAAGAATGGAAATACACCTAATTTCTGTGCTGTTCAGTGTTTTTGCAAGTACTGTTTGTTTAATTCTATTGTATTAGTATAAAGTTACTGAGTCTCCTAAAATTAATCAACTGATACTTATATAGTTGTGTAATGAGTCAGTTCTCTATATATGAAGCTGAGTATGAAATTAAAGTAGACATGTACATATGTATATTATGAGATGACGATTACTTTCAATCCGAGCAGAAATATTTATTACTTTAAAAAATAATTAGTACTACGCAGTCTTTTTTACACATGTAATTCGTTTTGTTGTTGATTTTGGTTTGAATTTTTATTTCTCTTGTTCTGTTAATATGTTATCTTGTTATTAACTATTAAACAAATTTCTATTGATCGCTTTGGCTTGTTCATTTTAAATCCAATTTAAACAGACTATTCTTATCTACCAGCAATTGTATGAAAGCTTTACATTTTAAAGAAGATGGGCGAGCAAAGCAAGCAAAATGCCTATGGTTCGACAAATATGAAGGTGAAAAATTAAATCTCAATTATAACAAAATCTTCTTAGATATTTCATCTAACATTAAGGTATACTTTATGTAAAATCTCCACAATTTGCAAATATCTTATAAAGATTGAAATTATTTGTCTATGAAATGGCATACACACACCAAAGAGAGGAAAAAGGATCATTTTCTCATATTATAACACAATTTTCCGTATAAGTAGGTCTTTGCTCAATTTTTTTTTGAAAGTTTATCCTCAAAGTTTGCGTAAAAATGTACATTTTTGGTTTACAAAAACATGGAGCAAACACCCACTATATCTGAAAAATACACTTTTATGACACAACATTCGTATCTTTCCGAGAAATAATTGAAGTCCAATATTCATAAGGAGTTGTATAACGTAGTGATAAGCGTGTTCGTCTCAAAGGAAATTATACTCTGGATTTTTATCGCTGGGGTTCGAACCCCAAGAATACTACATTATTTTTTACTAATAGAATACTTTTTGCCGAGAAAATTTTCCTCAGAAAAGTTCTGTCTGTCACAATTTCAATTATGAGAACTTTACTTTAAATACATTCACAAACTGCATATTTTTTATATTATATCTGAAGCTATAGGCATTCCGAACGCCGTGTTCGCCCATCTCCTTTAATCTTACAAAGCATTTTTAAAAAATACTACAAAGAGACGTATGCTTTTCTGTTAAACTTTATTCATGTCTTGTCCCTTTAATTTTGGTATTGTGTTGAATGACGACTTCAACCAAAGAAAGATTTTAAAGTACTTTTAAGAAAAACTACTAGTATTCCACGTCCAAAATCATGGCTAAGTGAGGAAGTGTTACAGAAATCATGGAAATCGAGGACGAGATCAGTGACATCTATGTCATTTTCTCGGAGCTAGGGGCTCGGAGAAAGTGTTTGCTAATGTGGTTTATTGCAGGAATTAGGCGCTAGGGCATTAAACCACACCCTATTGACTTTTTTGGTTCTTCAAACTGCGTACCTTTCCAACTGCTTTATACTGGCAAAAATGACACATCATTATATTAGATTTATATTTTCCGCAAATTCGTAAAGTAACTTTCTTTATTATTAGTGTCATAATTTGCTGGGCAACCCAGGCTTTTAATTTCTGAGACTTCCATTCCCAATGATATTAAAGAAGCAGCAAGATGTTAAACCATTTCTTTTACATATTCCGCTCACTTAGGGCAAATGAAGCCCCCCCCCCCATTTTCCCCAATAATGCGATGGAGTCAGTTCCAGTTCAGCTGAAAAAAGGGGGTTCTACGGTGTGAATGTGTTCTAATAATGTGGCCAAGATTATTTGTTTAATCATTTTTCTCTTACATATACAGCGTGTCCCAAAATATATATCATTTTTAAAAAAAAAAATCTAACCGTGTTATATGGATACACCTTAATTGATTTAAGAAATCAATAGATAAATATTTTTTCTGTAGAAAACTAACTCCCCTTCTAGGTCTCCATCCTTACTGCGGACACCATGACATAAACCATGTAATGATACTGGACTATTATAACATAATAAACAAAATGTTTAATTCATTCAACTAATCTTAATAACCTCTCCTTCAATCGTTGGGAATAATGTTCTTCGACTCAAGGATGCTTTGCGATAAGTTTAGTTTCAACTGGTTTTGTTGTCGTACCTTTTGTTCAAGCTAATAAATCATATTGCATACATTATATAGAAAATATTTTTTTATGCTACAGTATTTTTCCCCTATACAGTTCATTGAAAAATAGCTTTTTCCAAAGCCTTATTGCAACATTATTTGTGGTCATTTTTGTTAGTATGACTATAACATCATAAAATGCAGAATCATTTGTCGTTTCTTCACATAATTTCAAAATAATGTTATCTCTAGGCGTTGGGATGATATCATATTTCAAATGAGAAATCAAAATTTTATGACTCAAATTTGTTAAGAAATCATAGTAATTTGAGGTTAAAAATTTTTGCGTTGATGAGTTCATAAATTATTCTCAATGTTTAAGTGAAAAAATCATGGAAATCAGGTTAAAATTGATCTCACAATAATTTTTTTAAAATAATTGATTTTTTCAATGAAATATATAGTGAAAATAATGACTTATGCCATAAAATATAAATTTCTCATCACTGTATTACATGTATGTACATCACCCCATGAAATGGTCAAAACCCAAATAATTCTTAGTAGCATTGCCTACCCCTCCTCCCCCTCTTTCAAAGCAGCCCCAGACCCCTTGCCTTTTATGTCCTTTCATTCCAACAACAGTGTGCATCAAAAGATCCATCTTCAATGCAACTTAGAGCCAGAGGGAAAATTTTCCATTTTAGAAACAAGGGCTGCAGTATTGAACAGTTAAACTAAATAAATCTAAAAGTCAGGAACCTGTTCACTTTACAAGTAACTGAATAAATAGAAAAGGATCCTCTTTCTGACTTTACCTAGTAATAGACAAAGTTCCATCAAATAAACATGGATTTTGTGACAGAGTAAATTACAGTTATATACATTCCAGAACATTTCTTTGTAGCCATAATTAAAATTAAAAACATCCATCTTTTCAGCTTTAATAAACATAATTCATTGTTCAACATAGTTTGATTCATGCATTTGGTGTGAAATACAATATAAATTTTATCACATCTTCATATATTTTCCTCCACTTTATAGCTGAATACACCTTTGATTTGAACCCTCCCTCAATTTAAAAATGTATCCTTTTTAATCCTATAATTTTGCCTGTATCTTTATTTTTCTTTTTATTGTATTATTTCTTATTCAGCAGTATCATTAATCCATGTATGTCATAAATAAAAACACTGCCTGCAAACTGGAAAATAAAATCAATAATTTAAACACATGAAAAAAAGGGAAGACAAAAAAAAATATAACCTGATTGAGCAAACATATATACAGCACAGCGAGAACGAAAAAAAAAAAAACTTTTAGTTTATCCCTAAAAATTTATTTTTAATGATATTATAAATAAATAAAGATGTGCAGCAAAGGAAAAATATCAAAACTATGTGTTAATGTTAATGTTACATGGTATGTTCAAATAATATTCTGTTCACAATGAGACTACATTACACTCAAAGGTAAAAAAAATAGAAATAATACAGCATGGTCAAAATTTATACCAATATTATTATCACATTCATAAATATATTTCACATTTATATATACACTGTGTTTATACAACAGAAAAAAAAGATGGCCTTTGAAATTCAAAGAACTCTTTTTTTGTAGCACTTTTACTGTATATGACACAGCTCCTCCTTCCAAATCCTCCTGAAGAACGTGAAGTAATTGAACTTTTTTCGGTAAGGTGTAAGCTTCTTGTAATAAACAGAATCCATGTCAGCTTTAATTGTAAGCAACCGGTTGAGCCAAAAATCCATTGTTTATTTAGCACTAAGTGGGTGTGGTTTGTATCTTCAGTATTCTTCTTCCTCTTCTACATTACCATCCTCCTCGGGGGGTGCAAATCCCTCCTGTAATTCAAACAATGCTGTAAACAGATACTGCAAAGCAGTGCAGATTTCTCCAATATTTTACAGTGATACCCTATTACCAAGTGTCTTCATTGTCAGTTTTACCAATTTCTTTTATGTACATGCAATAACCTTATACTTTTCTGTTCAAACATGACATGCAAATAAGTAAACATAATTTACACAAAAATAACCTGAAAAGCAGCTGGAAAATAGAAAGCGAGAGGATTTTCTACATGTATGCCTTTTGGGAAGGAAAATTTACATTACATGTATCTGGATATGTTCATAACAAAAAAATGTCAGCTGACTCAATTGCATTGCAAATTTTGTGCAGAAGGGGACCAATAACTCACAACTGCATATAGGCATAGGTGGTGTACATGTATGTATATATAATGCAGCAACAAATGTTTTTCTATATAAAAGTGTGGATTTTACAGGAAGCAATATGTGCTCTGCTCTTTGTTATGCCTTGGATCATGTGAAATCGAATAATGAAAATGTGAATTGAAATGATCAAAATATGTAATTCTCTTATTACAATATAGTTTGCCAAACGTAAGAAGGCAGCACTCGTCAATATGAGGGCTTTTTTGAAATGTGACAACTAGCCAAACAATCAAAACAATTAACCATTTATCATTATCCTTTCATAAAAATTTAGCTTCTCTGTTATACTGTTTAAGTATAACCCTCAATATCAATTAAAATATTTGGAAACCAAAAAAAAAAAAAAACTTGCCACTGGTACATTTTGTTGACTCTGAAATATAACATTATTTGATTGTTTCAGAATTTTCCTTTTGAAGTCCATTGTAGCCAATGACACTGTGATTTGATGTTAGATATAAAATTCTCGTTACACCATTTGTTTCAAGCTTTCACAGCCAGTGTTAAACTTTTACAGAACAAACATACCTCTGTTGCATAAAGGACATCCATGATTGACTTGACAACTTCATTATCCTCATTCTCTTGGCATGTGACCTCAATATCTCGGAGTTTTCCAAAATAAAAATCTCTTTCCTTTTCTAATCCTTCTACTGTTAACCTCAGTTCATTGATCTGAAACATACACAATGTACATACGCAAGAATCACTGCAAAGAAGAAATAAATTTAATCAATCTTACCTAAAAGCCTTTAAATTTTAAGCAGTGAAAGGAATTTTTGTAAAATCTTTTTTTTTTTCCCCTAATGTCAGCTTTACCTTATAAACAGAATGCTTAATTAAAACATTTGGAAACGTGCACACATTTTTAAAATAGAATTGAGAAACCATACAAGGTGGTTTATAATGTCATTCAATAAAAATTACACAGAGACCAAACGTTTCAATTTGTCATATTTGATAGTTCTACTGCCACGAAGACACTGCTGCATCAATATCATTACAGACATGAATATTTGGTTAAGTACCTGTTGTGTTAATTCAGCTATTTTAGCACTATTATCCCCTCCTCCATGACTGCTGTTAACTGTTGCTTTAACATTTGCTACAGGTTTACTTATAGCAGAGGTGTTCTTTGTGGTTGTCTTTGCTGGAGCTGAAAAATGGAAATCAAAATTATGACAAGACTCTATAATATTCATGACTTTAATGAACATCAGATAATACAAAGAATCATTCATGAAACTTTTTTTCTCTGTCATTCCTATGTTCAAACTTTTTGGAGAGACACATATAGCTTTAATGAAACAAACTAATGTCCTACAATTTCTTACGACTAATGTTCCCCCTTGTAAATCTCACCTCTAGCCGGTCCCCTGGAGATACCAGTTTTTGCCGCTGCAGGAGATTTGACCCCTCCTGGTTTACCCACATTTCCCACCACTTCCCCACCTCGGGCCATCACCGGATCGTACTCTGTGTCACCATTGAAATTGGCATCAAAAAAGCGTTTAAACCACTGAACAAATTCAAAGTTATCTTGGAACCTTCCTTTAACGAGTCTTTCAACAGGAATCACCTTGAAAATATTTCCTCAAATTAATAAAAGCTTTAAAAAGATTTAATAACGGACAGTTATAGAAAAAATGTTTTTTTGTCAATGTTATAGAATTTATAAAACTGAAAATTAATATGAAAAGAACAGTCAAAACATGGCCTTTTCCCATTTATCTTTTCCATCACCACCACCATTTTCAAATTATTAAAAATTCCTTTTTGTTAGAATACAAACAAAACAATAAATTTTGTTAGCCTGTGGATAGGAACTACTATTTAAATCAAATCAATTAGTAACTCCATCCCCCCCCTCCCCCCAAAAAAACATCTTCATTATCAAAATTACAAAAATCTGTATCATACAAATAAAAAAAAATATTAAGACCATATACTTGTATAAGTTGCAGTATCATACAAAACATAATAAAAAATAATAATAAAAAAAAGTAAGAAAGATTAAAGTAGATGAATAAAGGTTTGAAATAATAATTGGTACCTTATAAGGTATGGCGTACAGTTTACAGAAACAGCACCACCACTTACCTTATCAACCCCTAATTTTCCAAATGAGGATTGTAGAATTTTGTAGTTCTGAATATATTCATGTTCTAACTTTGTATTGAATTTAATTTTTTTTATCTGTATAGAACCTGAAATATACAGAAAAGTATACAGCAGATGGAAAAAAAGAGGGAATTATTCATAGCACCAGGAATACTGTTAGTCGAGCATGCTTCGGTATGGCAAGATGCAATAAGAATTCTTGACAGTCCAACACACACATGTTCATCCTTTTCCTCCACTGTTCCCAAATTCCCAACATGCAAATTAATTAAAGGACACAATACCATGCTAGGGTTTAACTGTCAAGTTCTGCCTGCATCTGTGCTATATGTGACCTGTAACTGAACATTTTATTCAGCGAAAGTCGCTATATAAGCAGGACATGCATAAGTAGCCAAGGTGTTAGGTTCCCCTTCGTGTTCATCGATTTGGTCATCTGTAACAGATGGAACCAGGTGTAAAAAGGATCTTTGTCTAACCTTTCCAGAAGTTGAATCACCAAAACTTGAATAATACATTATACATTTATGTCTCAAAAACTCATTCATACTTGTTAATTGTATGACATGCCGAAAAGGATATGGCCTTAGAATAGTATACTGATTTTAGAAATGTTAAAAAGAAAAGCAGCAGAAATTTTGATCCAAATAGAGTTCTGGAAAAGAAGACAGATCCCTCCTTGTTCCTCAGCCTTTCCCCTCTCACCTTGTCGACACTTGTTTTTTTGAATGAATTTTGTAGGAGCTTGTAGTTCTGGATGTATTCGTGTTCTAATTTTGTGTTGAATTTAACTTTTTTGATAGGAAGGGAGCCTGAAATATCACACATAAATATATAAACCAAAACATTATTGAATTTGATAGTACACAGGTAAAATGTCACCACAAGGACACAACATCACTCATTACCATACAAAATGAAATGGAGGACTCATACATGCTACCCTCTAAATAAAGAAAATGGAGCTGGTTGGTTTCAGGTTTGTGGTAGCTTTGTTTTTTTATCAAAAGAGTTCATTCAATTAAGAGTGATACTTTCAGTGGTTGAAAAAAAAAAATTATGTCAACTTAAAAAATTACTGAGAAGTGTACATTAAGCATTTGAAAACTTGTTTGTAAATTAGAGGAAAAGCAAAAGTATTTAAATCTGCTGGATCCAAAATATTAAAGGCAAAAAAATGTAATGAAAATATGTTAATTTTTTTTTCCTAAGCCAATGATGAAAATAGAGATGTACTGTATGTGCTTTTTATACACCAATACATGTTTAAGGAACTTTTGAAGCTATGTAGCAATGCTGTGGCCAGAATTTGAATTAAAAAAGCAGCTGTCTGATGTAGAACAATTGGTCTGATGTGTATTTAAACTGCCATCAGCAATACATTTCATGAACATTGTACCATTTGGACATGTGCACATATTTTCATGTATGATAAACATGTAATCAAAGATATATAAATACTTATCACTTGAGACACATAGATAAAAAAAAAATCACAACATATTTATCTACTCTATTATTAGTTTACAGAAAACTTTAACCAAAAAGAAAACCTATAAAAGATATTTTTCAAGTATATTGTGCATTAATGTTTTAAAAATTGTTGACTAAAACAAACAATGTAATTTATTTCCCTATTTAGATGATATTAAGTTCTATAAATAAAGTAGAAAATACAAACCAGGAAATAACATATCCATAAACTGGCAGTAGGCAGCCCCTGTTTAACAGAAAAATGCATTGTAATGAAAAAAGTGAACTTCACTTGAACAAATATGCATTGTAATTTTATATTCAACACCAAATAAATTAACACATCTGTGGTCAATATTTTACCTATTTTGATCTGTCATGTTCCTATTTTGATATATCATGTTCTTATTTTTATTTTTTTTTTTAACAATATGGGTAAACACCACGTATAGTTGCCCACACTGACCTGAACAAAGTTCCTCGATTTTGCCGTAACTTGTGTGGATGCTGTCGTTGACCCAGGCCAGAATATCATGGCGACTAAGATTGTCTGCCTGGTTATTGGTGCTATACACATTCACAGCCATGGAGCGGTCTGTTCTGCAAAGAAAACACACAAGCATTACAGCTGCTTCAACATTGTCTCAACAAATAACATGTCAATGAGATTGGTAATTTCCTAATTAAGAAACAAAGTATAGATTATCATTCAGCAGATAATTTTTAAAAAAAATCAAAATAAAATTTCCTTTCATTTGAACTTTCCAAGCATTTGGACTACTTTGAAATATGCTTATATATAAAACGAGCATGTCTTTTGTATACATACTAAATTGATCTATTTTGTTTTGTATACAACTTACAAAGCACACTTCAGAGATGAAAAATACAAGATCTATGCAGATGGAAGTGATTTTTTTTTCTCTCATTTTAAAGCAACAATGCTCTTGATCTTTTTTTCTTTAAGTGAAATAGGAATTTATATCAGACTTATGTACATGTGGAATGCAATATCCCAATGACTAGTCATAGTAGTCAAGCACTAAAATTTCTGTGGAGACGTAAATACTTTTCAAATCTATAAAGAAAATCCTGTAAAATATCAATCCATTTAAGATATCTACCAACTAAGACACAATGTGACACTACCAGTAGTCTTGTAACTCTAGAAAAATCTTGAAGAAATTAAGAATTAGATTTCCCTCCAACCACCTGACCAAATCAGCCATGAATAGAAGCAGTAAACACATTCAGCAATACAGGACAAAAATGATTCCATAATCTTACCCCCTACTAATTCACCTACTGAAATCTCTTCATTATACAGCACAAATATGGAGCATACTAACCAAGCATTCTCTCCCTCAAATCCTGTTCCCTTAAAACATGAGAGCGAGCTTTTCTCCATAACTGTGTAGCACGGTTGTTGCTTCTTTCTAATTGTCTTTGCCTAATTTGTTGCTCTTTTTCTTTGTATCTAGCCACAGGATCTACTCCACTATGGTAGTAGGACATATTTCTTACAAAACAAAATCAGTCCTCCCCCATCCCAATTTTTATGTGATAAGATGATTGCATGGTCTTATTGACCTAGTAGATAAGATAAAGGTGAGGAATGTATTTAATATTTATGTCATTTGTATACATATTTTCATTTAAAATTTTTTTTAAAGAGAAATTGGAAATACCAGGTATTGGCAAACCATTAGTAGACTATCCATCTCTATTTTAATGGAAGCTAGCAGTGTTTACTTTAATGCATAAATGTGTGTCAAATACACATAAAATATAAAAGAAAAAGAAAACCTCTGTGTCAAAATGACCCTTAAAAAATATAATACACAACCTATGAAAACTTTTGGCATATTTATTTGAGTTTGAATTTGTCAAAAAGGCTGGAGATTGTACTAAGTGAAAAAAGTTAGCAAAACTCAGGTCTATGATTTACAGTTTTGCAAACAACAAACAAGGCTCAAACAACTTTCAGAAATCAGCTTTGCAAGAAAACATCACATCTTCTGACAAATGCAAGATGGCGGAATTGGTAAAATATATAAATAAAACAACAGACACAATTATTTCTTTACTTACCTTATTTTTTAAATATTAAAATTATGACCCAAGAACCACAACTACCAAAATCATAATCAGAATGCACTTTGGCCCTCTAAAATTCTCTGAGACTCCCAAAATTAATTTCAAAGGGTATAATGACCCTTGGTTTTCAAAGCATAAACAATGGTTAGTTTTGTAAAATGTATGACTATGTGCATCAGCAATGGCTACAATTTTTTATTGCACAAGTGCATGATCTCTCTGGAAAACAAATACATTGTAATGTTCCAAGAATTTACAAAATATAATATGTACTAGTACTACTACTCAAACTTTATACAATCTATACATCTTTTTTTTTTTTTTAAATATATGCACCACCTTTATCATTATGTTCCTATTTTGCTTTGCATAAAATGCATAAACTCTAAACAACAGAAATTAAAGTGTGGAGGTTATCTATACAATTATTCAAGAAAACCTCTCTGCATCTATATTTGTTGTTTACCTTAATTGGGAAAACATAAATGTTGTTGGCATTGTGGAAACAAAGTCTAAGCCAAGTATTTCCATAAGCAGCGTACACAAAAAAATTCCACATCTACCATAATAATTTTGTTTTTTGATTTGGAAAGATTTTTTAACAAGAAATTTATACTTTTTAGAGTAACATGTAATTCAAAATATGTTACTTATAATCATTGATGTTCAGGGTTTGACACTAACATTAGTCTCAGACTAATAGTTTTAAATTCTGACTTTAAAAATCTGTGGCTTTTTAGTCTGAACGGACCAAGAAAAATTTCTGGAAAACAATATGAATATAATACCAATGTCTGATTCTCTACAAGAAATCCCTGCATGTAATTTAGCTTTCTAGCTTCTTGGCAGGTAGTTAAGCAATTTCAAGTCAATCCAGCACTTAATGACATGAAGTAAAATGTTTTAGTGATCATGATTTAGTATGATGCATAAAAGGAAGATGTTGGGACGTTTTGAATATAATGTATAGTCTACAGAAAAAAGAACAAGATCAGGAATGCAATGGTACTTGCTGATCATGAGATTTCAACGAATCTGTGGAATAAAACACTTAACGTAAATGCTTTGCTTATTTCTAAAAAAAAAGTTATAAAAAATACATTGTACATTTATCCTTACAAAACATTTATGTTTTTTTTTTTTTGACAGACTCAAAAAAACACCAGTAAAGAAGCGCTAGTCTGTCTGGACTAAAGCCTAAAAATGTTAGTGTCCAACCCTGGTATTTGAATCATATTACCTGTCTTACGATACACCGATTCAGATTATCAATGGCATTACAAGTAAAATTAATCTTTTTAATAATTATCTAACCAGAGATAATAAAAGAAATACCTGATTATTTTCTTTTCAAATTAATTCGATGCATGTTATGAAGTTATGCTTACCGGTATAATGCATAACATGCGTGTGTCAGTATTTACGTAAACAAAAATCATACCCAAGCGATATTAATGTCAAAGGTTTGGCTTCGGGTAATTAAACAGTTCTTGGTATCCATCGATAATTATTTTAGTTAACTAGTGCAATGAACAATCAGTGCTTTGACCATGATGACGTGCTAAATGAGCATTTTAATGTTTATGTCTTATGAACATTTTCTTGAATGTGCTTGATTGTATTCTACAAATACGTTTTTATATGTGCTTCTGACTGAAATATGTTTAAAAGTTCTTTTAAAAAACGCGTTGATTTCATTGAAGGTGTTGAGGTGATAATTGTTAAATAAACAATGGTCATGTCCTACGTGACAACATAGACTGAAGTTATATATAGCAATGACGAGACAATAGAATCCCTAACGATTTGCAACTCTAATTGCATATCTGAAATTTAAAAAAAATAAAAATAATATACAGAATTAAGGATAATTCAGAATATATATCACAAAGATCATAGTTGTTGACTCATTTATAGGTATTAATATATCTATGTCTTAAGCGACATGCAGTTCTTGTATATGATATAAGCGACGGTAGTTCAAAATGGCGGAATAGGCAATGAAAATAAAACAAAAACAAAGATCATTTTTCATTATGGTTTTATCTACGAAACGATTAACTTTTTTTTTTTTCAACAGGTAGGGTAGATGTATATGACTACAACAGGTAGGGCTGACGTAAATGACTCTGAAATTAGAGTAATAGTAATAAACTTTGATGTAATTGGTTACAAAGAGTAATCAATTCAAATGGATTGGGAAAATGGTCCTTGGCACTGGGAAAGTGACCTGGAAAAAAGGGGGTTGTATTTTGTTCCGATGTATTAAGCGCATCCCCAATTTCATACAATTTTCTGAAGAAAAAAGTGTGGCCAATACAAGCGACTTTACGGTACATTAAAATCATTACATATTGGGTTTCTGGTGGTTGTTATCAACTAAATTTCTCTTTTTCAATATAGAGGAATATGAACAACAAGTTAAGTAATTACGTTACTTACTATATGTTCTTTAACTTTTGGTAGCAGCGAGAATCAGGAAAATTAACACATTCAATTGGGGAAAAAGGTACCTTTTTTTTTTGAATTGGGAATTGGGCCTTTGAATGGCCTCAAATAGATAGCTTTAGACAGGCCTGAATTTAGCAAGAGTTATTTCCCATTGGCCGCCATATTGGAGGTCCAACGAGTGAATTTTCCCCTTTGAGCAACCATGCAATTTTAAACTTGTATAGCAGAAGTACAAGAACAAAAATCTTTAAAGTACTAAAATTACAAATTAAAGGAAGTTTGTGTTAACATAAATACATAAGAAAAATTGTGTTATCTTCACCCAATTGGCCAGTATGACAAGTTTAAATTGGCTGAATAATGAAGGAATACGTTCTATTTCCACCATGGAAGAGTTATAGTTCTTAGTGCGTTCTTTTGTGAAAAAGTCGGAAAATGTACAAATCTCACAGGATTTCGGGGACAATCGTAACAACATGTAAACAGTATGTTGAATGTTGATGAAAAAACGCGTAACAAACATGCAAATGAGACACTGTATTGTTGTGGACTTAACATGCATAAGAAGTAGAAACAACAACGTCAATTTTTTCACCATAGGAAGTTGTTGACAAGACTCAGTGTTGACGGTTCGTCTCTAAATACAATGTATATGCCTCGGAAACGTCATAATGTTTATCAATGGATGATAAATTCTGGGCTTTCGCGATCTCACATATGCCTATTAGTTCTTATATTCTAACTGGAATGACAAATTCATTAAACATTCAAATTTGGATTGAGATCGGCATGTTTTGTATTCTCCACTATGTCATTGTTGTCCCAGTCAGACGACCAAACGCGCCTCTAATTTGAAGAGTTCCAGTAATGGAAATAGAAAGTATTTGGGCTTGTATACCTCCAATAAGGCGACCAATGGGAAATAACTCTTGTAAAATCGTGTCAATTGAAAACTATCTATAGAGAGAATCAAGAGCCCTGTTTCATCCCAGTCTGTGTAACCCTTAGCTTTTAACAGTCATGTAATGCTAAATACATGTACTTTAAACTGAGAAAACTTCTTTTAAAGGTGACAATAACTCCTTAAAACATTTCTGAGATCTTTTCATTTTTTTTTTTATAATGGATGTTCATTAATCATTTAATTTACAAATCATTCATGAATATGGATATATTTAGATTCCCCAAATTAGATATGGAGCAGGTCTACTCTTTCTGTCACAATGCGTGTATACTGAATCTGATGTATCCCTACTGTGGTAAAAGGCATGTAAGACACAGATAATGTTAACAGTAGTGATAGCAAATTTCATGATGTTGAAGTTAAAGTTCTCACTTTATAATAAAATTATGCTACAAGTAAATACACAATACAAATATACAAACAGATGCAGTATTGACAATAGAAATCGTTCAAATTTAAATCGTCCTAAAGTGGTTTACATCACAGGAAACATGTTTTAACGTTTAAGAAAGTCAGAGATTATTCGGGACAACAAGTTTGAATGAAAATAACAAATTGGCTGTTCTGTCATCGTTTTTGAGTAAATCCGTGGCTACAAACCTGTGGTCAATGTTCATATATCCACAGAAATAAAAGAACTATCATATCTTACCTTTCTCTCACTTAAAAACGCAAAATTCCTGTCTTCTGAAACAATGTCTGTCTGTTAGTCGCCCGGCGCAATTCGTAGCTCGGAAATTTTCGGGTGTTTCCGTAGGTCATAAATAATATTAACAAAAACTATAAACTTAATGTTCTTTCGATCTTTTTTGACACACTTCGCTGTGATAAACATTTTTTAATATTAATAGCTAATAATAAATTTCTAAAGGACAAAGGGTAGGTAACTCCAATTTATGTCACCGGAAGCGCATTGGTCAGATTTGCTTTTTCATTCAGACAGAAAAAAGAACCATGGAATTTTTGATAGGTATTCAGGGGAAAGACTTTGTACTTGTGGCTTCAGACACTTCATCTGCAAGGAGTATCCTTTCAATGAAGCAAGGTAAAACGATAGTTGGGTTGTTATTTTGAATTTATTTCGAATTGTGTTTCTGTGTTTCCACTGCTGATCGGGTAGAAACATAGAAAAGGTTACATAGAAACCTAGAAAAAGTTTATGAATATTTTAAAATGACACGTTTTTAATATCTTTATACCTTTTTTAGACACTGACAAAATGCATAGAATGACAGACAACCTTCTGATGCTGGTGAGTGGAGAATCAGGAGACACTGTTCAATTTGCAGAATTTATCTCCAAGAATATTCAACTCTACAAAATGAGAAATGGTATGCCTACTTGTCAATTTTATATAGTTTTGAGTGAGTGTGTATGTGTGGAGGGCAGGCAGTTTGATCACTGTTGGACAGATAGCTCAGTTGGTAGAGAACTTGACTAGTGAATTTGGGGGCCTGGGTTTGAGTCCAGGTATTGGTGGTATCCAGTCAACTTGTACCCATTCCGACTCGTACCCAAACCGAGTCGTACCCAAAGAGTCAACTCGTACCCAAAACTGAAGTCATAAAATAAATAATGAAAATATTTCTTTTTTTGATATATTTTCAGAAAGATATCTGATTTATCATTCCAGTTTAGTTAATGGTTACACTACTTATATTTTATTTTGTTTTGTTTGTTTGTTTATTGTTTAACGTCCCTCTCGAGAATTTTTCATTCATATGGAGACGCCACCACTTACCGGTGGAGAGCTACAAATTTTGACCTATACTCGGCACTCAGTGCCATTGAGCAAAAAGGGATCTTTTTCGTGCCAACACCTTCTGCGACACAGGACCTCGGTTTATTCAGTCTCATTCGAAGGACCGGTCTCCACGTCCCACAGTGGGATTCGAACCCTCGACGTAAGGATCAACTCCTTACGCCGCGACTCTAGAGCGAACGCTCTAACCACTGCGCCACACGGGCGACACTTATATTTTATAAAATAATGACAATAAAATTAAATTTGTTTGAAAAATTCAACTTGGCATAATATAGATAAGGCCTAGATAGATTCTTTATTTCCAAATCAGGGTCCTTTGAGGCATCACAAACAACAAGCATGATTTATGCAATTACCAACAGCACAGACAAATTATGTACATGTGTATACTAAATAAACTTAAGTACATGTCTTTGTATATAGTATAACACTGTATATGTATGTAACAGTTTTGGGTACAAGTTGACTCCTTGGGTATGACTCGGTTTGGGTACGAGTCTGTTTGGGTACGAGTTGACTGTAAATCGTATTGGTCTGTCACATTTTTTCCCTTGCTGGTTACATTTGGTGCCCTGCCATGCCCTGGAAGTGACAGGTGAAAGATATACCAGGGAAAAGCCTGGGTTGGGGTCTCCCAGGGTTAAGAATTTTAAAAATGGAGGTTTGTGGCTGTCAGAAAGGTATACATTTGATCACCAGTGGTCAGATAGCTTAGTTGGTAGAGCACCTGACTAGTGATTCGTGGGGCCCACCTTCGAGTCATGGTCTGGTCTGCTGCATTCTCCTCTAAGCTGTTTATATAGGAATAATAAATATTTAAATAAAAATAATTATGATAGATGTTAAACAACTTAGTGCTAAATACTTAAGCCAACCATAAAGGCAGTATGCACCAAAATGACCTGCCTGATGCCCGAACACTAGTAAAAATTTGATTGGGCTAGTAAAATGTAGATTGACACTAGCCAGATCAGACCAGTTGCACTTTTAGTGACATATATCTTCTTTTTAGCTCACCTGAGCAAATGCTCAAGTGAGCTTTTCTGATCAAAATTTGTCCGTTGTCTGTCGTTGTTGTTGTTGTCGTTGGCATTGTTGTCGTAAACTTTTCACATTTTCATCTTCTTCTCCAGAACTACTGGGCCAATTTCAACCAAACTTGCCACAAAGTATCCTTGGGTGAAGGGGATTCAAGTTTGTTCAAATAAAGGGCCACGCCCTCTTTAAAGGGGAGATAATAAAGAATTAGTGAAAAATTAATAGCATCTTTTAAAAATCTTCTTCTCAAGAACCACAGGGCCAGGAAAGATGAAACTCATGTGGAAGCATCCTCAGGTAGTGTAGATTCAAGTTTGTTCAAATCATGACCCCCAGGGGTAGGGCAGGGCCACAATAGAGGATCAAAGTTTTACATAGAAATATATAGAAAAAATCTTTAAAAATCTTCTTCTCAAGAACAGCAAAGCCCTGATGAGTCATATTTATATGGAAGCATCCTCAGGTAGAGTAGATTCAAGTTTGTTCAAATCATGACCCCCGGGGGGTAGGACGGGGCCACAATGGGGGATCAAAGTTTTACATAGAAATATATAGAAAAAATCTTTAAAAATCTTCTTCTCAAGAACAGCAAAGCCCTGATGAGTCATATTTATATGGAAGCATCCTCAGGTAGAGTAGATTCGAGTTTGTTCAAATCATGACCCCCGGGGGTAGGGCAGGGCCACAATAGAGGATCAAAGTTTTACATAGAAATATATAGGAAAAACCTTTAAAAATCTTCTCAAGAACAACAAAGCCCTGATGAGTCATATTTATATGGAAGCATCCTCAGGTAGTGTAGATTCAAGTTTGTTCAAATCATGACCCCTGGGGGTAGGGAGGACCCACAATGGGGGATCAAATTTTTACAAAGGAATATATGGGAAAATTGTTTAAAAATCTTCTCAAGTACAACAAAGCCATTTGTTATATTGACATGGAAGCATCATCAGGTAGTTTAAAATTCACCCCCCTCACCTTCCCGGTAATCTTTTTAATACTGAACTGATTTGTACTTTTGCATACCAAATGTCCTCAAGTGAGCGATGTGGCCCATGGGCCTCTGGTTTTTTTCCTCATCTCAGTATTGATAAAAAATGTTAAAAAACATTTTGTTTGGAAACAAATTTTCTTCATTACATATTTAAGACTCTCTTGATGATTTTCATATCCTGGTAGATTTCTCTAGATGTCTATCATGCATGATTTGGTTCATCATTGCCATGTTGAAATGGCTAAAGAATGACAGAAATGCTTAAAAAAAAGTTGAGACTGAAATACATAAATCTAAGGACTGAAATTAAACAGAGTCATTTAATTTTTAAACTTTGGGTGGGGTGGGTGCAAGTGGGCTAGTAAAGAAATGATTCAGGATAGTAAAGTGTTGCCCTTACTTGCCTGATTAGGCTAGCACAGAAAAAAGATTCTAGTGCTCACTATAAAGGGCACATTTTAAGATATTTTCTAATTTTTATGCCAAACTTAATATAATATATGTATTACCAAATATTTTATAACTTTATGAGAGTCCATGGCTATGGACATTGCATCAGTATCACAATTTAATACTTTTGCTTTATTGATTTCGATATCATTAATATCAGTTGTACATGCACATTTATAATTGTTGTTAATTTTCTTTGCAGGGTATGATTTATCACCAGCAGCTGCTGCCAACTTTACGAGGAAAAACTTGGCTGATTATCTAAGAAGTCGGGTATAAAACAAAAAATATTTGATGTATTCTTGCCTTTAACACAAAATCGCTTTTCAGCTGAAACTTAATATTCCCCTTATCATCTGTAAAATAAACTTTTTTTTATGGAGAGGAAATAAAAGTAATTTTGTGTACTATCAAATAGAGTGAAGGCCTGACAACAAGTTCCTCGAATATTTGTCTTTGCATTTCTTTGTATAAGTTTGTAATATACCAGAAATTTTTATAATTATTATCTTCTGATTTCTAAGCTGCTTTCAACATGTCTAAAAAAAATATTGTAATATCAGCAATACATGTACAAGTGATTTCCATAGAATTATAATTTGGGAATAGCATCCTATGGAATCTGGCACTAAGACCTGGTAATGTACCTCAATTTTTCGTGAAGAAAATTTAACACAAAATCACTTTCCAGCAATACTTCAATCACAAAGTCTTGGGGAAAAATGATATATTATTGAGAATTGAGGAACATGTTGTCTGACCTTAAAAAAGAATTTAAGAATCACTGAAATGGCTTTGATGTGCATAGCTTGTTAAATTCCAGTGTATTTACCATAATTTACTTCATTTTCTTCTTACTGGAAGTTGAACTTACTTTCTCAAATAAGAGATGCTCATAGTAAATGCTTATGTAACATACAAGATATAACTGTAAATGGTTATGTTATATATTCAGCCATTTGCAGATTCTGTATGCCAGAAATAGCTTATTACACATTTTGATATATTTCTCAATAAAATGTATAGAGAGTTCCAAGGCATATACACATAGCTTTATCAGCCCATACTGTAAATTCTTGGGGATAACTTTTGTGTTTGTGAGGTCACAGTATATTTTCCTGTCTCTCCATTGTTAATGATATCACATACATGTACTAATGTTGTAGGGATGTTTAAGATAAGAAATTTAGAGAAGATCCACTCAAAATGTAATGGTACTATCAAAATATGTAATAAAAAGATTATAAACTGAATATCAGGAAATCTTTATGCAGATGCTTGGTCTGCTTTACTGCACAAAGACCTTGGGAGGGCATATTTCCCAATATTCTGTCAATAACTTACATTTATAAATAATGTATGAACTTGTTCTGAAATATGATTTTTCTTTTACGGTAGACTCCATACATGGTCAACCTGTTGATGGCAGGATATGACAAAAATGAGGGGCCCTCTTTATACTTTATGGACTACTTAGCCTCAATGAATAAATGTCCGTTTGCTGCCCATGGTTATGGTGCCTTTTTCTCCCTTGCTATATTAGACAGATTCTACACTGAAGGTATAGCACATAGACTTTTCTTATTTTCTATTGTTTCTGATTGCAAGTCAATATGATGAAAGACAGGGACTTTTTTTTTTTTTTTTTTTTTTTTTGGCTGTCTTCAGAGGAATGTACATTTTAAAAAGATTTTTTAAAGTGTAATATGCAAGAAACTTTGTGCACTGGACTTGGTTCACATTAAAAGTGAAATTTAACATTTTGTTTACAACATACTGATCTTGTATTCTATTATATTTCAATGTTTTTGATGATAAACGTATTTTGCAGACATAACAAGACCCAGAGCAGTTGAGTTGTTGACAATGTGTATAGAAGAGGTTAGTTGCAATTTCCTTTTTCTTTTCCCCTTTTCTTTGTTTATTAATCTCAAAAAGAACATTGAAGTGAAATGAACAATTATTTAAAGGTAAAAACTACTAATGACATTTCTGCAGAAAGAACTTGCTAATCCTTATGTAGAAATGTTTTATTTGTGAATCGGTAGTAGTTAAAGAACTCTACAATTTGATAAAAAAAAAATTATTTCATTATTGGTTCAGATAAAAGATGCTTTAGAAAGTGAGATGCACTGTGCATGCATGAATTGATTATTTTTCCAAGAAAAAAAATAATTCTGAAGTTGAGTCTAAATAATAGAGATAAAACTAATGCCAGCAGAATCTTGAAAATGAAGATAAAACTACTTCCAGGTTACCTACCGGTAAATAATTTGAAATAAATAATTGTTATTTTCAGATTAAAAGAAGATTTATCATTAATCTCCCGGCATTCAGAGTAAGGATGGTTGACAAGGATGGAATACATGAATTGCCAACAATAAAACCTCAGTTATCCGTCCCCACTGTACCAGTAGAATCTTTATAATGCAAAAACTCATTGAATTTAAATAGTGCTACACATTAGACATTCATCATTTTTGTCACATGTCTACTACATATGTCTTCTTATAACAATGAAATGATCTTACAAACTTCTTGAGTTATTTCTCATTGAAATGGAAAGTATCGACAGTGAAACCTGTCTAATCCAACATGCAGTGGGATACAAATTTTGTGTCAGAATAGACAGGGTGTTGGATTACACAGTGTAAAGAATGTGGAAAATAGTGAAATGGGAATGAAAATAAAAGATTTCAAATTGAAATGGACTGCATAGGTGTCAGATTAGACTGTTTTTGCTGTACTATTGTAAGGTAAACATGATAAAGGATTAATAAGTAAATGACTGAATCCAGATGCTGTCATGATGTTTTCTTAAGAGACAAAATCTTTTTATTGGGGTAAAGAAGTTCAGAAGGAACTTATTTAAAATATTCTAATGCCCTGGACTAAATGAAACAGTACTGTGATATGGGTTGCATTCATAAGAACTGCAATGCTAGGTTTCATTGTTTTTAGTTGACTATAAGTACACAGTGTTTAACATTGCAGTCAATGCTCTATTAAGAAAAAATAAAAATAGAAGAAACTAGAGGAACTATGAGCACTGAGCTCACAAAATGATACCCCCTGCCTCCCATATGTTTATAATGGCAAAGTCCATGTCTTGCTTTGGGAAATCCGAAATAAGTATCTAATCAAAAACGTAAAATAATAAAATTTTATTCAGTGGTATAGGAGGAGTTGCGGATAAGAGATGAGTACCCCTCAATATTATAGAGAGAATGGCAGTGTTCTATGTGGTGTTATTGGAAACCCAAAATATGTTTCTGATCAAAAAGTATAATAGGAGGTCACAATGGCACTATCTAACAAAGATTCTGTGAAAGTATCATTAAATTTTATTCAGTGGTATAGGATAAGTTGCAGATAAGAGATGGGTACCCTTCAATATTATAGAAAAAATGGCAGTGTTCTATGTTGTGCTATTGGAAACCCGAAATATATGTCCGATCAAATAGGAAGTGCAAAATGGCACTGTAACAAAGATTCTGTGAAAGTATCATTAAATTTTATTCAGTGTTATGGGAGGAGTTGCGGATAAGAGATGGGTATCCCTCGATATTAATGAAGAATGGCAGTGTCTAGGTTTTGCTACTGGAAACCTGAAATATGTGTCCAATCAAAAAGTAAATAAGAAGTTCACAATGGCACTATGTAACAAAGATTCTGTGAAAGTATCATTAAATTTTATTCAGTGGTATAAGAGGAGTTGTGGATGAGAGATGGGTTCCCCAAAGGGTAACGGAAGAATGGACGGACGGATGGACACCCCCATAACAAACTAGGATGTGGGGTTTATAGTTTATCTGTGGGACTCTGGGTTTATACATGTTACCGGTATACAGTAATTTTTTTATTTGTGAGAAATTCAATAATACGAGGTTGTCTTTTCATAAAAATTTCATTCTCATGTACGTTTATATCATTAAAGATTATACACAACAATAATGAAAATTTATGAAGGACTTGTTTTAGACTCGCTTATAAATACCAAAATAACAGTATAATTTATGCAAAAATGAATTTGCCTTTATGCAATGAGACAATCATTTTTTTAAATGAGTACAGAGGGATTTTTTTGTGGGGTGCCAACTTTGGCATATTTTAGTAGTTTGGTAGTAGCCTGCTAAAATTTTCATCGCTAAATTTGTGCACTTACATAAAAAATAATTTTGATCAGTCTTTTATTAAACATTAAATTTTTCTGAACTCTTTCGTAAATACTGAAGGCTTAACTTAATTGAAGATAAAATTACATATCTAAGGTACCTGAAGCACCTTTCTCTTCATCAGTACCAAATTATTTTATGTTTGCACCTTCATGCTACACTGTGTTCCATCAAAATTATTGGCATACTTTTAAGCATGCAATACACTAAATTTTACACCTGCTAAAGAAACCTGCTATATCACAATGCAAGAAACAAACTGCCAATTGTCCCTTACCTTTTAAGTCTGCCACTTTCCCAATTTTGATTCATTATAAAATATGTTATAAACATATAAGATAAATACAATATCTGTCAGCTGCATTTATTATTATTTAAGTTTACATTCTCATTATTTTACACCCTCATACAGTATGCATAAACATTATTTTGCAACACATTTTATTTTTTCTCTGAACCTAGAAAGTAAATACATGTACACTTCTTACATGTAAGAGAAACTGACCTCTTAGCATTCACACTTATGTGCAATATATATAAGACATAAAAGATTTTGATGAAACAAAATGTCAGAATAAAATCTTTTTTCCTATATAGGGTTATAAACGTTGCCTTGAATCACTTCCAGTCAGGCTGGTTGGCTTCTTGGAATACATCTGAGAACAAGTTTCTTGCTCGAAATAAAATTGTGGGTACCGGTACTCAGTTATAAATATCTATGCACATGAGAATCATCAGCTGACAGCTTTGCTGACATTTGAGTAGCCCACTCCCACACAAGTCATGAGGAGTTTCTCTCCTCCCATCCTTAATTCCTCCTCCTCAGGAATCTGCTGTGGTTCCACTTTGAACATCACATCAAAGAAATCATAGATGTGCCTCAAAAACTGGATTCTACAAGTGACATACATGTAAATTATTTTACCCCACCTCTGTTGATTTTTCGATGAAATCCTGGCTTACGATTGGTTGAAGTCTGTCACGTGAAGGGGGTGTATTACTTATACTTAGTCGCTTGAAAATCAATACATGGTCGATACGGAGTTATCGTTCTTTTGTATTGTTCGAACAACTCGAGTTCACGCGATTTGCCGAGTGTCTGTTGACAATGTTACAGTTAACTAATGTAAGTAACGAAGATGGAACCTTTTTCTCCCTTTACTGAAAGTCTTCAAAACTGTCAGTACGTAACACTCGCAAAACAACATAACGTCACACAACGTGACGTCATAATAGGCATTGTATGAGTGATGAAACATATATATAGAGAGAAAAACAATTTTACAAACCACAGACGATGCATAAATATTTTATCGGTGGGGTAAATTCGTTACATAGTTTTGTAGTGACAGGGTACGGGATGATACCTGGTTAGTAAATTCCATACCTGGCTCGGCTTCGCCTCGCCAGGTATGAAATTTACTAACCAGGTATCATCCCGTACCCTGTCACTAAAAAACTATGTAACTAATAAAATCTTCTGTAAAAACAAGGCTACTTCAAAATTACAGCCCAACAAACCAGTATAAATCTTGGTTGCCCATCAACATTGACCATCTGACTTACAATGATTCCACAGTAACATAAAATTCACATGTATTGACAAGAAAAAGATACTTGTTAGATAAACAAAAACATGACAGTATTTTATTAAAATGTACAAACTTACGTGTATGGTGTTAGGGAACCTGTCTGAACTTTGGAGACATTCTGTTGACCTAGGACCATAAATAATGCAGTCATGCTTTGATTGGTGGAATCAACACATCCCCCCTACAATGAAAAAACATGAAAGCTACTTTAGTTTTTCTAAGAAAATACACTGTTAAAGTTGAAGACAATAAACTATTTCATTATTGTATAAAACTGTAATACTTGTATTATATTGCGGCTTTTGTTTTTTTGGAATCAGTTGTTTATGTCACAACAGATTTACGATGTATGTAAATGGTGATCAGTTACAAGGACAGCAAAAAAAGTCAGGAAAACGGTAAATAATGAGACATTTTCAAAGTCTAAGGGCCATAACTTATGTAAAAATGTCTCAAGGAACAGGAACAGGAAATTAAAACTTGATTTGTAGGTCCTGATTTAATGAGACATACCAAACAATTAAAATTATAAGAAACAATCAATGAAAAATTGATATGTTTTGCGTGATATACTGGTAAATCAAATCTTGTACAAATACACAAAAAAACACTGTTAATGGGAATCACTAGGGACAACCAACATACATGTATATATAATGTATCCATACATATTATATTTCAATTGATAATTTATTTTACAATATTGGGTTAGAAAAATATTATTTTGCTTACCACCAAAAATTATCAACCTGTAAAATCACTCACTTTTGTGGGGTTAAATTTTCATGGCTTGAGGAAAAACTATAGTTTAATTGTGGGATTTGATTTCTTAGTTGAGGAAGCTAGTGTATGAATTGTCTTGATTAAATTATTAACATTTCTTGGCAGACAAGGATTCCTGCAATGCTTCATAACATTTTTTTACAGTATTTGTATAATCCTATTCTCCATGCCTGATCACCTTATATATTTCCTCTAGAAGTAGTTTTGCAGCCTCTTTCCCAATATCCTCTGGAACAGAGGGTCCTTTTTCTGATCCTTTAGGATTTGAGGAGGTTTCTGCACAAAGAAATACTCCATTAGTTGTCTCTGCCACTAATGTCAAACCAAAGCCAGGGGATCTGTTTATAAATAATATAGAAAGTAATGAGTGATACATAAACTCAGAATAATGAAAGGCAAAAGAAAGTCTGCATTGCAAACAGCATTTCAAAAATCTTGAGAATTTTACATTCCTTCACTTATTATAACTAGAAAACTGACCAGTCAGCAAGGGCCCCGCCGAGGGGTAGAAATATAAGGGTGCAGCTTACAGAATGAGAATTTTAATTGATTACAAAAATTTAAAAATATATGAAGGAGAATATGCAATAACAACTGTATTTATAAAATTTCAAGATAATTCCTAAATATCCAACAACCTGTAAAGAGTATCCCTGTATTTACATACCAGTAAGGCAGTAAAAAACATATCTATAATAACTCAATTAAATGTATATTGAAACAAGAATAAAGCATGTGTTTTATAAAATGCCAGCCTTCAGTGAATACAAATATCACCCAGACTTGACCTTAACTTCAAAACAAACATCAGTTGCAGACAAAAGTTAATTTATCTTAAAATGACAAATAAAGATAAGCCTAGAAAATTTCTGCCCCAGTCAAGATAATTTATCCCAAGGGATTAATTGTACTGCTCTCTCATCCTTTTCTTCCAAGTTTACAATAAGAACTCTTTCAGTAATGATAGAATGAGTTTATTATTGGACTACCCGTTAAAATTAATAGTATTCTTGAATTTACATACAGCAGACAAAAAAAATTGAATAAATAAATAAAATAAATAAATAAAAAGTAAAAAATAAAAAAAAAACATATCTTTATATCTTGTTTTTAGAATTCAATAAATTCATAACTCATTGTATATTTTACCAAAATAAAGTATGAACATTATTTAAATCCATATATCAGAAAATGTAAACACCATCCAGAATTGACCTTAACTTCAAAACAAACTTCATTTGCAGACAGAGGTGTTAATTAATCTCAATTTGACAGCAGCAGATAATGCTTTGGATTTTCTTCAAGAGGAAAGTTAATTAATCCCATGGGACTAGTTGCAGCTTTCATAGTTTACAATAGGAACATTCTCAGCAGTTATCTCTCTTTGCCCTGGCATTCATTCTCATGTAAAGTTAAGGAATCTACCCCACCACCCCAGCCCCAAACTGGATGACATAGAGAACCAAACTTAGCATCAAAATGTGTCTTACTGCCTCTTCAACCAACATACCAAATTTGAACTTAATTGGTCAACTACAAAAAAAGTTATTAGAAAAAAACAGAAAATTTGTGGACGGAAGAATGACAGACGGACGGACAGCTAGACAGACAGATGGACAGACAGACAGACAGACAGAGTGATTACTATAGGGCACCCGCAAATCCTTGCGGGGCCCTAAAATGTCTGATTACTGCATACACAAGTTGACCTGAACCAGTCAATGAATACTATGTACCATAAGTAATAAAGATTAAGAAAGGTCCAGTCAGGTAATTATCTTTTTGAGCACGTATATTTGATAAAATTATATTTAAGGTAAAGAAAATAGCAAATCAAAGAGACTTATCAATTGGTTGTTTCCTATGTTCCTAACCTAGCAGTGAGGAAAGCAATGTGACATTCTATATATTAGGGGTGTCAATTTTGTCAATAATTCATATTCGAATATTCAATGAAAGTATTCGAATATATTCGAATATTCGATAAAATAAATAAAATCTGGTTTATTTTAAATATGCATGATCCTACTCCCATGAAAGGTTTTGCGTAGGTATTCTAATATTGGAGTAAAATTGTGTGAAGGCTTTTGTAGATGTACAATAAGAAATTCCATTTGATATTTGTCAATGTTTGAAATAAATAATTGATTTAAATGTAGAAAATATGATTTTAACAAATTTAATAATTTAATAAATTTATAGTAGCTCCAACTGAGGAACCAATCGTCTTACCAAAGGCAGGATAGTCGTATACTGTTTAGATTTCAATACGTGTAATTAATTACAATTATCAGTCTAATAAGAGATATGATTAAAATCTTTGATAAAATATTTTTAAAATATAAACAAATATTTCCATAGACACTTTTCCTAGGTAATTAATTAAGTTACCGATAATGAATATAAAATTCAGGATTACACGTATGTACAACCCGAGATAATCAAGTAATTTACACATTCATTTTGAAATTGAGCCCTTTACAATATTACAATGTAGTTACAGACTAATTCTATCAGATACTCATTCAATGATCAATTAAATCTATTTTGATAAGTATACTATTCATGTCTTTTAGACATTCTAAGAAGGTTTTCATTTAATCAAAATTTATTAATCACTATTTCTTTTCACGAAATCTGTAAAACACCGAATATTCGAATCTTGAATTTATATTGGAATATCAATTCATCGAATGAATATTCGAATGTTCGAATATTCGTTGACATCCCTACTATATATATATATACTGACACAATTTAAATTTTCTTTGAGATGACATAAACTTACTTTTCTGACTAGCTCCCTTTATAATTGTATACTGTGGAATCATCATCGGTCGTGGGGGACCCATGTTCATGGATTTCATGGGTCACCCTTACCCATGAATTTACAATCCCACAAATTTTTTGTAAACATACCCATTCAGGAATCTAACATATATCCAATTTAACATATAAACGAGTAACCAACAAAATTATGTCCCCATGAACAAGTAAAAATTTTGCTTGCCCAAGAACATTAACACCCATGAATTAAAATGATTCCACATTATATGTAGATATCTGATATAAACCTACTTTCCTGACTGACCCTCTTTATAATGGAAAGTGTATGTAGGTAGATATCTGATATAAACCTACTTTCCTGACTGACCCTCTTTGTAATGGTCAGTATTTGTGTAGATATCTGATATAAGCCTACTTTTTCTGACTGACACTCTTTGTAATGGTCAGTGTATATGTAGATATCTGATATAAACCTACTTTCCTGACTGATCCTCTTTGAAATGGTCAGTATTTTTGTAGATATCTGATATAAACCTACTTTCCTGACTTGCTCTCTTTATAATGGTCAGTATTTATGTAGATATCTGATATAAACTTATTTTCCTGACTGGCACTCTTCAAAATGGTCAGTGTATATGTAGATATCTGATATAAACCTACTTTCCTGACTGACCCTCTTTATAATGGTCAGTGTATATGTAGATATCTGATATAAACTTATTTTCCTGACTGATCCTCTTTGTAATGGTCAGTGTGAATGTAGATATCTGATATAAACCTATTATCCTGACTGACCCTCTTTGTAATGGTCAGTATTTGTGTAGATAGCTGATATAAACCTACTTTCCTGACTGATCCTCTTTGAAATGGTCAGTATTTTTGTAGAGATCTGATATAAACCTACTTTCCTGACTTGCTCTCTTTATAATGGTCAGTATTTATGTAGATATCTGATATAAACTTATTTCCTGACTGACCTTCTTCGTAATGGTAAGTATTTGTGTAGAGATCTGATATAAACCTATTTTCCTGACTGACCCTCTTTGTAATGGTCAGAATTTGTGGAGATATCTGATATTAACCTATTTTCCTGACTGACACTCTTTGTAATGGTCAGTGTATATGTAGATATCTGATATAAACCTACTTTCCTGACTGACCCTCTTTATAATGGTCAGTGTATATGTAGATATCTGATATAAACTTATTTTCCTGACTGGCTCCCTTTATAATTGTCAGTATTTGTGTAGATATCTGATATAAACTTATTTCTTGACTGACCTTCTTTGTAATGGTCAGTATTTGTGTAGATATCTGATATAAACCTATTTTCCTGACTGGCTGTGCCCCCCAATAATTTTGCTGATATACAGATTTCTATAGTAAACATAGATAATATATGCTGTCTGATGACCTTTTTTTTTTCTTTTTTTTGCTTGTCAAGGAATTTTTGGTAGTTGATAGTGCCCCCTCAACTGAAAATGTATGGCTGTGCCCCCCCCCCCCCCAAATTGCTTCCTACAGGCCTGCTTTGTAATGGTCAGTATATATGTAGATATCTGAGATTACTTACTTTCCTGACTGGCCCCCTTTGTAATGGTCAGTGTATATGTAGATATCTGATATAAACTTACTTTCCTGACTGACACTCTTTGTAATGGTCAGTGTACATGTAGATATCTGATATAAACCTACTTTCCTGACTGACACTCTTTTGTAAAGGTCAGTGTATATGTAGATATCTGATATAACTTACTTTCCTGACTGGCCCCCTTTGTAATGGTCAGTGTATATGTAGATATCTGGTATAAACTTATTCAGTATGCTCCTGGCAGAGTCCACTATTCGGTTTGTCACAACAGGTGCGACTCTCACAGCCCAGCTGAGATTTGCTAAGGAGTATCTTAAATATTACATGATATATTGCAAAGAAGTAATAAGTAAAAAATCAAAGAAAAATTCTGGATTTGAGGTCCTACAGGATCTAAAGTAGTCAAATTACTCCTTATTTCAACATCAATGATGGTACAAGTTTTATTAAAATAGAAAGCACTGTCAACCATTAACATTTTTCTTGGCTGAGTATGACTGATCTTAAACCCATGCATATGAATCCTTAATAAAAGTTTCTTTTAATAAATGTAAAACATTACTAAAACATGTTTTTCTGTACATTTTATTTCTTGAAGGATACGCTATGCCTCTTATTCTTTTGATCTTTCCTGGGTCTGTGAACAGTAAGGGTCGTAGTTTCTGTCGACAAGGACAAGTGAAGGTCACCTCCCCACCTCCCTCTGGGGCAGCTCCCCTCCTTACGATCTGTAACAAAAAGGTCCTCTTCACTATTTTTTCTTATAATTACATTTTGAATTTATTTTTCATTCAAATTCACATTAAATGAAAAATCTATGGAAGGATTATTTTTTCTTTATATTTACAGATCAATGTAGATCTACCTTTAGTTCTAAACCCTCATCTGTGCCCAAAAATCTTTTCAGTACTGGAAAAGTAGATAATTTGATCATATCAACCTGAAAAATAGAACCCAAAATATTTTATCACACTATATTAATATTTACATTCACTGAATATTTCCCCTTTATTTTTTATAATTATGAAAACCACTTCCCTTAACTAATCCATTAATGCTCAACTAGTTAGAACCAGTTTTACAAGGCAGTGGGGTGTTTCATCAATGAAACATGATCATGACATACAGAACAATAATACAATATTTTACATACTTAAACTACTTCTTACAATTATTTATACAACATGAATACATATATAAACAATACTAGAAATCTGACCAGTCAGCAAGGGCCCCACCGAGGGGTAGAAATATAAGGGTGCAGATTAGGGGATGAGAATTTTACTTGATTACAAAAATTTAAAAATATATAAAGAAGAATAAGCAACAGCATTTGCTAAATATCCAACAACCTGTAAATAGTTCCTTTGTATTTACATAACGCAGTAAAATACATCTATAATAACTAAATTAAATGTATATTTAAAGAAGAATGAAGCATGTGTTTTCTAAAATGCCAGCCTTCAGTGAATGCAAATATCACCCAGGCTTGACCTTAACTTCAAAACAAACATCAGTTGCAGATAAAGGTGTTAATCAAACTTAAAGTGACAGAAAGATAACCAATTTTCTGCAAGCAGCAAGATAATCAAACCCAGGGGATTAATTATACTGCTCTCTCAACCTTTTCTTCTAAGTTTACAATAAGAACTTTTTCAACAATGATAGAATGAGGTTATTATCTGAATACCTGTTAAAATAAATAGTATGCTTGAATTTACAGGCAGAAAAAAAAGAAAAAAAAATAATAAAAAAGATATCTTTATCTATATCTTATTTTTAGAATTCAATAAAATCATAACTCATTGTGTATTTTACCAAAATAGAAAATAAAGTATGAACATTATTTAAATCCACATTTCAGAGAGTGTAAACATCATTCAGAATTGACCTTAACTTCAAAACAAACTTCATTTGCAGACAGAGGTGTTAATTAATCTCAATGTGGCAGATAAAGATAAATGCTTTGGATTTTCTTCAAGAGGAAAGTTAATTAATCCCAAGAAACTCATTGCAGCCTTTCCTAGTTTACAATAGGAACATTCTCAGCACTTATCTCTCTTTGCCTATTCACTCTTATATAAAGTTAAGGAATCTATCCCACCACCCCAGCTCCAAACCGGATGACATAGAGAACAAAACTTAGCATCAAAATATGTCTTACTGCCTATTCAACCAACATACAAAATTTGAAGTTAATTGGTCAACCTTAAAAAAAAGTTATTAGAAAAAAACAGAAAATTTGTGGACGGAAGAATGACAGATGGACAGACAGATGGACAGACAGACAGACAGAGTGATTACTATAGGGCACCCGCAAATCCTTGCGGGGCCCTAAAAATGCTTTCTTTGTTAATGGTTGCAACCACTGCTGAAAATATTTACAAAATCTGGGTTCAGTTTTTTTTTCTGCAACAGTTGCAGCCATTAATTCCCACATTAACAAACAAAGCATTTTATTGCTTAATTTTCTTTCATTTCATGAACTTTTGTCCATTTTGTAGCATTAAACAGAAATTCATACACTTTCATGAACAATAATTGTTTTGCAAGTTTTCTTTTGTGTTTCCTCAGTGGTTCTAGGGAGAATGATGTAAACCTTAAAAGTTTACAGATAATAGCAGACATAACAAGGCAAAAGACTTACAGGCTAAAGACCACACATGACATGTACCAAGACAATCAAATACCAAACACTCTAGAAAGCATTAAACAGCCTTTACTAGATAAGATGAACAAAAAATACCAAGTTCTTCCTTAAAATAACTGTAAAGACTACTGTAGATTCTTTATTTAGTTATCTTACAAGGGTACTTAATATCACAAAATGACTCATAAAGACCATGAATTCATGAATGTTTTAACATGCATATCAGCAACTAACTAATGTGAAAGATTTATTTTATTTTGTGAGTTGTGCTTCTCACAAAATTATGCAATATTAAATTCTTTCTGTATATTAAAAAAACCTACAGTATTGCTGAAAGATGTTTGAGTTATCACAGCTAATTGGGCATACTATGATTACTGAAGAATACTTGCATTTTGATGCTGAAAAGTTGCAGATAGTATAAGTTACTATTTAATTAAAAAAAAACTTACTGATGGATCAATTTGGTCATTGGTGACTCCTTTTAAAACTGCTTCAATTGGTTTCTTTGTAAAAGGAGCTAAGCATATTAAACCTTCCAGGTAATAGCCTATGCTGCGCTGTATATTACAATCATGCTCTATTTTACCTCCTACCAATAATCCTGGCTGGTATAAAATACTTGTACCTAGGAAACATAAAATTAAATCTTAAAAATACATTATGTCAAGTCATGTCTAGAAAAACACAAACATTATAATTGAAATATTGTAACTAACTTCATACCTGGTAATTAAATTTATATAAAGGTATTATGAGCACTGAGCTCACAAAATGATACCCTTCCTTACATAAGAGATCATATGATGGCAAAGTCTATGTTTTGCTTAGAGAAACCCCAAATATCTGTCTGATCAAAACAATAAATAAGAAATGCACAATGGCACTATGTAAGAAAGATTCTGTGAGAGTCTTGTTAAATTTTATTCAGTGGTATAGCAGGAGTTCAATGCTGATAATAGAAAGGTACCCCCAATATTATAGAAAGAATGGCAGGGTCCGTGTTTTGCTATGGGAAACTCCTAATATCCTTTTCACCCCTTTTGTCCAATCAAAAGGCAAAATTAGGAGGTGCACAATGGCACTAATGTAATAAGGATTCTGTGAAAGTCTCATTAAATTTTATTCAGAGTTGCTGATAAGAGATTGGTACCCCCATTATTATAGGAAGAATGGCAATGTCTATCATGTCTATATTGCTATTGTAAACCCCAAATATGTGTCCAATTGAAATGCAAAATAGAAAGTGCACAATGGCACCATGTAATAAGGATTCTATGAAAGTCTCACTAAATTTCTTTCAGTGGTATAAGAGGAGATGCAGATAAGGGATGGCTATACCCAATCGATGGACACCACCATCACTATATACCCCTGCTTTTCAAGTGGAAGGTATAATAAAGCAAATAGAGAGTAATATATAAATATATATAAATTCAATATTTAACACTGGTATACCTTTTCAGAAAGTTAAACTGATGCAACAATGTAAAAATGGTACATTAAATATGAGTGCTGAGGCCCATTGCTACTAGTAATTGAAATATCATCAAAACAAATTAAACAGGTAAATAATAACATGGGAGAAATGATGCAGAAAAATTAAAATGTCTCTAATAAACACATACCTGTTTCATTTACAATAATGTTAGAGCCATTTGTCAGTTTGTCAATAAGGCGAATAAAACTTGCTTCAAAATCTGGAAAATGGAGAGAAAAAAATAAACACATATAAACATAAGAAGTCCCCAGGATTTTTTTGCAACAAATTTCATTTATTTGCAAGGATTAAAATGTAAAAACCATGTCACACTGTCAGGACTTTGAGCTAAGATTTCTTTAAATCACAGAAATTTGAGATTCATTGGAGGACATAATAATAGGAGATCTTTATTCATTTTCAATCCCCAAACTTGGCAATTGTTTTGATCATGTTGAAATCATCATGGTGTGAGATAAATTTTCCAGCAGAGTTTGGATACAGTTTACAGAGAAAAAAAGGTAATAGAGACATGCAAGCATGCCAGTATACTGGTTTTGTAGATCAATTATTGTAGAAGAGAACAGTTTTAAACAGTTTGCTAATGCATTTTCTCTGAAAGTGTAAATAACTGTGATTCTTGGGAGGTCAGGACACTCCATGTTATTTGGAGTTAGATACCTTGTATTATGGGTTAAAAATTTAATTTAAAAAAAAAAGTGCCTGTGATTTTATTGTTAAACCGGGTCCATAGGACAATATAATTTTAATGTCTTGACGTTCTAGCAAAGGGGAGACGTACTTGATACATTAAGATAATAACAGGACTGTATGACAATAGAACAAGTGATACGTTTCAAATAATGAAATAACCAAATGTGACTTAAGAGGCCATAGTTTGAAATTAAGCAAATCAAGAAGTAAACTTTATCTTCGAAAGTAATATTTCACGCAAATAAAAATATGTCTGGAATAGTCTGTCAGATTATGTCAAGTTATCAAGGTGTTGAATTAAAAAAAAAAAAGAACGTAAACATAGTAAGTCTCCCAAAACTCAAATTATGCAACAAACCTTTTAAACCTGGATCATCGTCTTTCGATCTAATTTTCTTGATTCTTAATGTTTTCCCGCTAAGAGTTGATAAAATTAATCGCTGTCTAAAGTAATTACAACCTTCAAAAGTAACCGTATTTCCACTCATATTTTTTTGTTGACAACACGTGTTTGTCAATGCTAAATACTATCTTCAATGTAATTCAATGTAAGCACCTTATATGAAGTGCACAGATGACCAAGTACTGAATATAGACGTAAACTAACTTCTATGACAGAAGAGTTCTACTTTCACATTGGATCAGCACTTTTTTCTTTGCCCTCGTAACATGACAGATTTGAAGTGTATGTATTGCATAACCCACAGAAACAGTCTTGTGAAAATTTAGTGATAAACTATAGATATGTTGAAGTTCCTGAAAGCCAGAGAAAATGGTATCGATGACCCTGTTATCTTGAGACGTACAGAATCAACAAAGCGAGCGTACTCATTAGAACTGAGCAAACACAGGGACGTGGAATCTGTGTTTTATGGTGGAATTAATTCACTTGATATAGATCCAGTTGAAGCTAGATAGTAAGTTTAAATGTGCACTCGTCAATACACATACACACACACACACAAAACGAACATGTTAAGCATTTTATCACAATCATGTAAAAATTACCTACAAAAATTAAATATTTTATTGTCCATTTTTTTTAAACAGTTTGCTGTCAGGGACAGTTGCTGGAACCATTCATATACATGATCTAACAAACCACTCTGGTCAGGTGAAGCACACCACCAAAGCAATTTGCAACATCAGTCGCTCTAGTCCATATAAACACAAACATAGTGTGGAAACTGTCCAGTGGTACCCTTTGGACAGTGGAATGTTTCTTTCAAGTGGAACAGACAAGGCTCTTAAAATATGGGACACCAATAGTATGAAGGTAAATTATCTTTTATTTAAAACAAAATATTGAGAGAGAGGGAAGAGAGAGAAAAAAATTTAAGCATTAGGTTTTATAACATGATGCACAGGACATATTGGGGGTATGTAAAAGTAAACCCGAGACTTCACAAATAAGGACTAAGGGTACCCAATTTTGTAGGTAAAGTAAATTATACTAATAAACAAAATGATTTTATGTTTTAAATCCTTTTCATATCTATCCATCTATAAAAATTTCTACATTAGAACCCTAGTTCATTCCTAAATTCTGCTTAATTCCCATGATATAATGAAATCAATTGCAAAGTTTTTTCCATTTTTTTAACTAGAAACTAGCTTGGGCCCATTTAGTACCCTATCTGAGAAGTTCCACACCTTTATTTTTTAAACATCCCCTGTACGTCAGTAAGATCTAAAGTGATCCGAAGGACTGTGTATAATGTAATATCTTTGAAGGAGGAGTGCAAAAATGGTGCATTTGTGTAATTCAGTAAGGAAAAGCTAAATCTCCAATCTTCTGTTTCCCACTAAATCTTGCACATTTTATATTTAAATATAAAATATATACATGTATTTATATTTAAATGTTTAGTGTCTATAATTGATTCATTCTTTCATTTAAAATCAGCCAGCAGATGAGTATGAGTTCAGTGGTATCGTGTACAGTCATCACATGTCTCCTGTAGCTACATCACACTGTTTAGTGGCTGTGGGGTGTCACAGTTCTACCCTGAAGTTAGTGGACCTGAAGTCTGGATCTGCAACACACATGCTCAAGGGCCATAAAAAGTCAATCCTGGCAGTAAAATGGTCAACCAAAAATGAATTCCTTCTGGCATCAGGCAGGTCAGTATCAAAATATCCATTAATTTTATGATGATGATGATACTGGTACATTGTATTTCATTCCATCTTAAACTTTTATTGTTTCATTTTTATTTTAAGTGAAGACAACAGGGTACATTTATGGGATATTAGAAGTTCAAAGGGTTCATTAATGAGTCTAGACCAATTCAATGGACAGGAAGTTCCAACTTTACTTAGTGGTAAGTTTTCAACACTTATGTTTCTTACTTGAAGCTTTTGGAAGAGCTAAAGTTCAGAGGGTCTGAGTTTACATCCTTGTCCAATCTGTCATATTTTCTCCTTGTTACACATCTTATATATCCAAGTGTAGTCTTATATAACATCCAAAACATGATCCATCTCTTACCATGAGATAAAAAGTAACCAACATGAAAATTCAATTTTGTGCAAGATTTCAAATGTTTGATGAATAGATTGAAATGGAGTACATTTTACTTGTTTTTTCCTTTAAAGCTTGCACGGCACACAGTGGCTATGTAAATGGCATGTCCTTTACAATGGATGGACTCTATTTGGTGACATCTGGTACAGACAACAGAATAAGACTATGGAACATTGATACAGGAAGAAACACCTTAGTAAATTTTGGAAAAATTCAGAACGAGACAAGAAAATCCTTACAATTTGCAGTTTCTTGCTGGTGTAAATCAGATTTGATTTACATTCCGGATGAGTACTGTAACATACAGGTGTACGAGATGTTTACAGGAAGGAAAATTGACACACTCCGTGGACATCTTCAACAGGCCAACTGCTGTGTGTTCCATCCGGATTATCAGGAGTTGTACAGTGGAGGAAACGATCGTAATGTCCTGGTATGGGAGCCGGAATCAGATGGAGCTTTTGACAACCATCTTAAGGAACACAGTTCTAAGAAGCAAACTAACACCAGAAATTTTGTGAGTAGAATAGCAGCTACTGCTGATGCATGGAGTAGTGATGAAGAAACTTGAAAGTAGAAAGTAAGAGTAAAATTGTGAAGATATTTCATATAAGGCAGCCCCAAGCCTTTGCACAGTAAGAAATCTAAGTCTTTCCATGGACAAAATGGAATATAAGAGAAATTAGATTCAACAGGAAGACACTGAGCTCAGACATTTCAGTTGACAAGTTTCCATTGGACTACGAAGTTCTACAGAGAATTTTTTTTTTAATATTTTTAAAAATGAATACTCTGTAACATCACAAAACTGTTTGTGTAGATATTGTTGTGCCATATTCATGATATTAAACCAATGAATTAGGTGCAATAAATACTACTCAATGCAACAAATTATTCTTTTCTTTTGGTTTAGTATTCCCCTTTGGTGATTCAGCATTTGAGTAACTACATGTAGCTAAGATAAGGAAGAAAATTATTTCATTGCCATTGTCCTATTTAGTTTTGACTTAACTTTGATGAAAATATATTTAGAGAAGCACCAATACAATATTTTTTAACACCACACCTTTCAATATTTTGCAAATGAGAAAAAAATGCTTCATGGTTTGAATCTGAGCAATTGATAAAAATGATTCCATTTCATTTGCTATAAAGGTGTGTATTTTACATGCTTCGCAAAACTTTTATTGTCCCCATAATACTCATGTATCAAATAATTTACAAGTATTCAAAATTCTTTGGAAAACATTACTGTTTTTGTGTATTTTTTAAAAGAACAGAGGAAAATCTGAAGTTCATGAAGGAATACTTTTTTAATAGGTAGGTACATGTATATCAAGATACTGAAATTGAATCAACTATGTTTACATCCACTGAATATTTTCTCTCTTTCTTATGAACACGACTTCCCTTTATCAATCCATTACCACTAAACTAGTTAGAACTGGTTTTTCAAGGCCACCTGTATGAAAGATTTCTTAATCAGTGGGTTCTTTAACAACAATGAAACATACCATGATGTACAAATCAATAATTCAATATTTTACGTATATAAACCTACTATGCATGATTATTTTTACAGACTCAAAAAATAATAAAAGTCTTTCTTTTTGTGTTAATGCATGATCAAGAGTTGCAATCATTGCAGAAAAAATTCACATAACCCGCTTAGTATTAGGTATTAACTGTATTTGGATTAACTACATGTATATCCTTCTCAAAACCCTACTCTCCTCCTCCCCCTCCCCTGTGGTGAGAAGGCAGTACCAGACAGTCTGGTTAACAGGAGAAATATATGTTTATTTCTCACTAAAATGCCCACTTCCTATTTTAAATTCCTCTAATGTCCACACATTTTCCGCTGAAATGTCCATTTTTTAGCCCACCTTAACAAAGTTGGGAGGAGCTTATGTGATACCGTCGGTGTTGGCGTCCCAGTTTTTGGAGAGTTTTCTTTTTAAGTATTTCTATGCCCTACATTAATCAGAGATGCATGGAAAATGCTTCTAGTGTGTTTCATTGTACCAGTCAAGGTTTCAGATGCTGCAATTTCAGCTAAGGAATGGGCAGATTGATGTTTTTAGAGCAGGTTAAAGTTTTGGAGCAGGTCTCATTTCCAAGTAACAATAAGCCCTATGTTGTCCAAACTTGCAGGGATGATACACCTAAGGATGCACACTACCAGGCTTGCTTGGGATGCTGGATCAGACCTACATTTTCCAGATGACTGACCAGATAAAAGTTTTTGAAGTAGGTTCATTCTAAAGTAACAATACAGCCTATGTTGTCCAAACTTGCAAGGATGATACATCTAAGGATGCATACTTCTGGACTTGCTTCAGATGCTGGATGAGGGACTAGGTTAAGTTTTCGGAGCAAGTTCATTCTAAAGTAACCAATTGCCGTACCTTGACCAAACTTGCATGGATGACACATCTAAGGATGCACACTACTTGACTTGCTTTGGATGCTAGATTTGACCTACATTGATCAGGTCCATTACTAAGAAACTATACGGTCTATCTGAACCAATCTTGCATGGATGATGCATCAAGGGATGAACACAGTTAAACTTGCTTCAGATGCTGGATTTGAGTTATTCTGGATGAGTTAATAGTTTGAAGTTTTTGGATAAATCCATTCCCAATTAACTGCAGGCCCTATCAGTTCAAAATTGCATACATTTTGCATCTTGAGATGTACACTTCTAGACTATTAGTTTAATGTGGGACTTTGCCTTACTTAAAGACAACATTTGTTGAGGTGAGCTATGTAATCTCTGATTACTTATGTTTCCTAAAACGTCCTGTCAATCCACTAAAATGTCCAATGCCGCCATCCATCAGCATAATAACAAGATGTGTTTGTGAAACACTGATGCCGCCGTATGACAGCTTATGGTGAAGGTTTAAGTTTCTCAAATGCAAGTCAAACTTCAAGGTCATGAGATCAAATGTTGTTACCCAAAGAAAGGACTATGTCAATGGATATACCTGGTAAATATGAAAACCCAAGCACCAACCATTCAAAAATTATGGTCAAGATTAATGTTTTCTAAAAGTTGTTAAACTCCAAGATCAAAGTCAAGAGGTCAAAATTAATGGTACACAGGAAAATTCCTTGTCATAAGAAATACATTTGCAAAATATAAAAGCCCTTGCATCAACTGTTCAAAAGTTATGGCCAATTTTAAATTTTTTTCAAAAATAGGTCAAACTCCAAGGTCAAAAGGTCAAAATTGTTGGTATCCAAAGGAAGGTCTTGTCACAAGGAATATACGTGTGAAATTTGAAAGCCCTAGTACTAACTCTAAGGTCAAGGTAAAAAAAAATTTTACACCCATGGAAAGGTCTTGTCATGATGAATACATATGTGAAATATGAAAGCCCTAGCACCAACTGTTCAAAAGTTATGGCCAAGGTAAAAGTTTGGTAAATTTTTGCAAAAAAAGGTCAAACTCCAAGGTCAAGAGAGGTCAAATATGTTGGTAACCAAAGGAAGGTTTTGTCACGAGGAATACACAAGTGAAATATGAAAGCCATAGCTCCAACCAATCAAAAGTTATGGACAAGGTTAAAGTTTTTACGGACAAACAGACAGAAAGACGGATGGACAGGGCAAAAACTATATACCCCCGAATCTTCGATTACGGGGGCATGAAAATACTTTTATATGTCGTTTTTTTTAGTTGGAAAAACTCTAAAACTTAACAAAATTAAATGGAATTATATGATAATGAAGGTATACATGTGTACTTTTTTTTTTAAATTTGTTTGACTGTTTTTTTTTATCCCACTGTAATCAAAGATTCGTGGGCATATAGTTTTGTCCTGTCCGTCCGTCCATCTGTTTGTCTTATCTATTATCTTCACCTTTTTTCATTCTAAATGCTCGCATGCATTAAATGGATAAATTTAATTATTGAGTTGATGCGAGCATCAATTTAACTATTATAAATTAAATGATATATGGTATATAGATCTATTTATCTGCATTCGGACCAAATGTTTCATTAGTTTGCTTTCTGCATTATGGAATCTTATAATTTTTCGAAATTTCTGTTGTTATATACATGTAGGTACTAGATGTGTTATAGCACATATTGGGAAATACTTCAGCACTAAATTCCGATGCGTACCTAGTTTAAGGGTATTTCATCTATTACAAAGGTTCCCATTTTGTTTTCTATGGAGACTATTGTTGTTTAACTTTTAACTATCCTTTTTGTGCTGCATCCCAAAGCTAAAGAAGCCTAATTCAAGGTGTGATCTTATAAGGGGACGACCATTTGATTTGGGGTGGGGGAACTGGCAAATTTTTCGGGTTTCACTCTGACAATTAATTTATTTTCATGCCAAGGAAAGATTTCTTATTTTCAAGATAATCAAGGACAGATCATGTATTTTCTTCTTCAATGGAAAAAAAGTTTGACTCTATTTCAAGGTACAATTGTTAGTACCAGTCAAGGTCAGATTATATATTTTCTTGCCAGTTGAGGTCAGATTATTTATTTTCAACATTTTCAAGGCCAAATTACTTATTTCCCCCCCCCCGAATAAAATGGTCGCCCCCTAAATATATATACATCAGGCACGTATCCTCATTTTTTCAAAGTAAGGGATGGGCGACAGGAAAAAAAATTACAAAATACCTGGTGATAGTTTAATAGTTTTGCCCCCCCCCCCCCCCAAGAAAGAAAAATATATGCATTACGTTAATGCGAGTAACATTCTACCACGAATGTACTCTGGCTTACTCTGGGCATTAATTGATCTATTTTGTTGTTGTTGTTTGCATCCTACACGTTTCTAGAATGGGCAAATGCTCTACTTAACACTAGAAAAAAATCCCGAAAACTTAAAATCTAGACGTGATTGAAAACCTAAAAAACCTATTGTCCTATCCTATTCGCATCATTTAAAATTTTTGCTGTCTGTGATTCCATTAATTTCACCTCCTCGTGATGAGAAGGGCAATATTGAATATTAATTTGAAATATACAATATTACTTTTTATAATAAGGAAAAAATCATGTCACAGGAGTCCTCTTCTGGTGTCGTGCGCAAGACCAGCTGCGATTTTTCCATGTGCAAAAATCAAGGTATGACATTTGTGGACACGTGGTTTAATTCACCAGGATGAAAAGTATTGAGTTTTGTAATGGAATATTTGCATTCTGAGATAAATTAAGGACGTATATATTGTACACTTGTGTCTCTGAATGAAGAAGTTTCGAATTTTGATGGATGCGTACATGCACATGCGCTGATCTACAGGAGGTTGGGGATTCGGAGCACACACACACACAACCCTCCCCCCACTGAGATTTTCAGAGTGAGTAAATTCATAAACTAAAATAATCTACACTGACATTGGGAACTCTTAGGAAACACGGAACTGTCCTAAGTTGGTAAGAAGAGTCGCAAATATGAACAAATGTGAAGTGTGCTTGAGGTGTCCATCCACCCCCATCCTATACCCCTCCCCAAATTCTAATTTGGATTTTCTTTCTAGGAAAAATTCCTGGAGTCACTCAAGTGTAACTTCAATGCTGACATATTCTTATGAGGATATTCATTAACACTGTATTTGTTTAAAAAATCTTTAAAAGTTTGGGAAATAAATACATAAGGGCCACATCATCAATTTTTTTTTCAGCATTAACAATGATGTTGGTTATGGAGGGTAATTGTTTTCAAAAATCCAAACTTGCAAGTGTCACATTTTTCATTTTTTTTTTAAAGTCATCAATACTCTAAGAAAGAATTGTCGAACTTAAATACATAATTATTCCCAAACAATGCAGCTGGACAATTTTGTGAAGAGAGAAGGTGAAATTTCACAGCTTCAAAAAT